ATATATAATTTCCATAAAAATGTGATAATTTTAATGAAAACCAAGGCCTTTATTGTTGTGCGCCACGAGAGAAGCGGCGGGTAAAGCTATGCGAGTTATATCGAGTCGTATTTACGCAAGTGTCCTGTTGTTTCAACTTTTAAAAAATTCTGTGTGACATTTTTCATATCAGCCCACGAAGTAACGGGCTGCTAGGAAAAATATCGCGCGACAAAAAAAATGTAACGGTTTTAACTATGTCTACCTATACATATATAATTAGTAAGTATCATATACTGTACAAAAGGCTGCGTTTGGGAAGAAAAAAATGTAAAAAAAAATTAGGCCCCATTTTTCTGGGGCCGTTAACATACGCTTAGTAAAATGATTAGGAAATGTGTACGTCGATAAGTTTCCGATTAAAATAGTTTAGGCTGTTGTGACGTCACTGAATGCGGTGTCGATGGCGCGCTGTACATTATGTTCTCTTTCTATTACTTTGTGGTCACGCCACTCGTGCAGTACCTTTTTTTGTGTAAATATAACTTTTTTTTATTGTTTTATTTTTTGTTTACGGCGTCGATCGATTCGCCGCCGTCGGGTACACTGCGGCGCTGTGTTCAGTTGCGTCGGCAATTATAAAAATCGCTGTAAATTGTTTGTAAAAATAGTCATGTTCAGAATTTCAATTGTAGTTTTGTTGATTAATTTTTTTTCAACCGGCAATTGCTGAATAAAGCGACGATTCTGTTTCAAGTGCCTGTTTTATTTACCAACATATTATTTATTATATAATAAACGTGTATTATACATATGAATGCATTTTCTTTTTTCACATTTCCTACCTACCTTCCTAGTAAGATAGACCAAATGTAATATATATTTTTATTGACTGGGGATGGAAACACTGAAGACAAACCAAAATAACATGACCATGTTCAAAATACCTAAATTCCTGTTATAAGGTATTGGAATGAGAAAGGAAAGATAATAAATAGTATTTACGTTTGCATTCCTTCCGTGGCGTAATGGGAAACGACACGAAATTCATGGCGGGACAAACATACTTTTTTTTAGATATAACAGGTTTTTTAAAGGATGGTACGGAATGATGCTCTATAGTGAATAATGTCTGTGATGGTGGTAACGTGTTTTTCTATTGTTGAATGTACCAGTTATTCGATTGATCGGCTCTCATTGTACTAGGGTAGTAGTAACCTATAGGAGGTTTAAATTGCAGTTAGATTTTCCACCAAGAATTTGTCCATTTCAGTTTGATTTAAATGAAAATTTTGTACCAAGACATACTAGGCGAATATAAATAATCTGTGGTATTAATGCTTGTACTCTCTCTAAAGCACAGCCAACTTAGTTGTCATATCGTTATCCCTCTTCTTCTTATTGTTACACAGTATCGCTCGTCTCTCTCCTACTGCTATGAAAATATCGATGTCTCTTTTCCTCATAATATTGCGCTAAGCAGTGTATATGGCTTTGTAATTCATTGTCCCCTAGTACGTTAATGTTTATAGACTTGAATTTCGTAGATAATTAGAAAATTAACATTTTCGTAGGTATTTTGAAAATTAAATAACGGTATCAGGATGTCAGCAAACTTTAGATTTTAGTTCCGGTTGAAACGCCAACTATTAAATTGTTTTCAATAGTCTGCGTTCCTAGTGCTTAAAATATCAGTTCAATGAAAATTTAATAAAAACACACACCATTGGCAGACTCAAGGTTATCATAGTGTGTAATGAACGTACCAATAATTGGGAGCAGTAAGTTTCCAATAGAGTGCTTATCCTATGGGGACATCCACGATATTTCGTCACACGTGAAGGGAGATGTCGTCAGTGTGACAATATTATTATAACAAGGGGTTAGAGGATCAGTCTTCTTCAATCTATCCGATTCGAACCCCCAGTGGTACCCTAAAATTCTAGAGCTACCCTCATACTAAAATCGTATCCGTTAAATAGTAGTTGGCCTTCAACTGCTCCACGAGTCCTTCCTTTGGTTTGGAGTGCTATTTGCACTCGCCCCCTATCGTTCGGTGAAGCTATAAAGGCCAGCTGCGGCTAACAGCATTACAGTAGTCCGAAAAAAAATAACAAAGTTACTGTAAAAAACCATTTTATAAAACTTTTCACAGCCGATTTTTATATAACTCTACATTGTCTTTGATTCATAGGAGGAGTGTATTAAATGAATAAAAACAATAATCCAGAAAGAATGCTTTATTTCTATTACAACTATATATACAACATTATTTGCAGCATTCCCCTGTAGATTTTATAAAAAAATAAATTGAGAACGTACATCTTTGGAAAAACATAACTATAGAACAACATGTTATATTTTGCAAATGTAGGTAGTTGCACTTTTATATGTAACGTCGATGGCTATACACGTGTAGCGCAGTTTTAACGGCGACAGCTCATTATTAAGGCGACCACACACGGTGTATCGTATCGTGTGTGCCCGGCATTAGCTTAGTACGATAATAAGACTAGTATATTTTCAACAATACTCTAAAACTTATTTCACGGATACGAGCTTAGTAATAACTATTACTTATTTCGATTTGAAAAAAGAATCTATATTAGATTTTATAAAAACATGAAAAAAATTCTCATTTAAAACAGATTTATAATCTACACTGCGATTAAGTATGAACTATTTAAGTTGCCAGGTGGTTTGCAACTTAGTAACCGCAACTCTTCAATGAGTCATAGAAAAATCGCAAGTGTCGATTATAATCTGTTGCAACAGAGAAATGTTCGCAACTACGTTATATAATATATGTCATTCAGCTAAGACAAATCTTGCATATCATCAAATTATCCATTATTAAAAATATAACCTATCTATAACATTAGTACTAAACTCGTAGAATCAATTAAGGCGATGTTATTAAATTTGTATCAGAAATCACTTTTAATTAACTAAGTACATCATCATTATTAAAAATTCAATATTACTAATCGAAGTACTAAACAATATCACGCACGTTAAATAGCATAAGGATTATTAGGATTTCTGCACCACAGATACAAAATGGCCGCCAAAAAATATTTTTTAAATTTATATGGCCTTGGCGCGAAGCTGTCAAAAATTGAAAAATAAAATTAATATAACACAATCAACAAAAACATTGTAGTATTGAGTATATGAACCTTTCATCTAATTAAAAACTTAAAATAATTAAATTAAATAATAATTCTCATTAGAAGTTACTACATAAGTAGTTTCAAGAACTAGATGAAAGGGCTTCTTTACATGAATAGTTCTTAACGTTTTAATTCAACTAGATTATATACGACTGATTGAAAATATTAAAATAATTAGGATATTTAAGTACCTATCCTATGTTTAACTTCTAATAACATTATCTAAGTCAATGAAATTTAAGCGTTTGAAATAAAATACAAATTATTCAATATTTTATAATGTATGGGACTATAGTGAGCTCATATTTTCTTCTTTCTGATTTCTATACTTTTTATAATGGAAAGATTTCTTAAACGATCGGATTACCAAAATTCTTCGTTGGTTTTATCTATCAAGCAAAGTATATCATCATTATCATCGGCTTCTTCCTTATCCCATTCATTTGTGATCGGCGTAATATGTTTTTCTCTTCCATTCCCTTTCGCAATCATCTCGTTATTTACTCCCTTTCTTACCATATCATCTTTCACAGACCATCCATCTCTTTGTCGACCTCACTCTACCCTTAAATCCACATTCCTATGTAATAATTTCCTTAAAGCAAATTGTGTTTTCATTACATTTTTTTAATGGATCGTACATGTCATGACAACAACCGAAATAAATTTCCCACAGAGAATACATTTAGTTCTATTTCAGCCTGAAACCAAAACTTGAGGTAGCTAATTTTTATTTATTTTTTTGTTTTTGTTAATTTTCTATCTAAATTAATGATTTTTAGTTATTTTTTCATTAATATAGATAATCGGTTAATTAATACAAAACAATGACAGGCAACATTTTTCAAGAAACGTATATGAAGGTTTCTTTAATGTCGGTAACTCGTACGTGCAGTTTCAGGCGTCTTACTACGGTAATCGTTTACCATCAGATGGACCGTATGCTTACGTGACATAAAAACCTTACCTTATTTACCATAAAATTATTCGTCTTAACCGATTAACTATGTTAATAATTTAACGATTTTATTTATTTATACAAATTGTTTCGTAAATTACCAGGTCCGTTGTATAAAAGAACATTCCCTAATTACTAAATATTAAATCTAGACGTTTGTTCTAGATATTAAATCATTTAATTATAAAAAGATTACGCAGGTCGTTTCAAACATAGTTTCTATGAATATTCTTGTTGAAACAATAAGTTAAATCAAAACTAATCTTATTAAACTGGTCTAATATTTAGGGCATAATTTATAATCAGTTTTTTATATTTGTGTGAACAATTTTGATATACATTTTAAATGAAATTAATAAGACTAATATAAACTAAATGGATTCCACCCATTGCTAGCAATGTACTATATCTGGTGACCTCCACACGGTTCATACTCGAAAAGATTTTACAATTACCGGAATTTACAATATGGGCTCTCATTATCATCCATTAATAAAAATGTTCAGAAAATTACTTATATGGAGCACATATTTCCTACGTCCATGTAATAGTTCCATTGAAGTTGGTTATTTCGCGTCCTGAACATTTTTTTTAATGGATATTGAAATCCCCTATACTTCACTTTCATTTTTTTCACAGCAACTTTCATATAAAAAGAATCATCAAAATTGGTTCAACCAGAAAATGAGGAACAAATTGTAAGTTATTTGTTTTAGTTATTACATATGTACATCTTATACATTATCACTGAATAATTGAAATACAAACATACATTTTATGCATAGTGGGAAGGCGTTGGTTTTTTATTTATGTATTTTCAATAGGTAGTAATTTTTATATTTAATAGTCAAATCTTTATAAATATAAAGCAATATTTTGATTAAATCTTACATGAACAAACCAAAAACTCTTTTATTCTAACTACTTAACTTTATAACACAAAACAAATCATACCAAGATTGTTCACAAAATATGATAATCATAAAAAAACAAATTCTAGAATCTAGACTGTTATATGACAATATTTATACAGCTCTAGAAAAACGACTTCAAAGTTTAATCATTATAGTCGATTTACCAAAAACATTTGTTTTGAGTTAATGTATTTTATTACAAGTCTGCGATGTATTGAATATAGTTGGGCCAACAAATTTTGCATAAAAGAACCCAACAGTTGATCGCTAACTTTACTACAAGCGGGTATAGGGTTGAAAATTGAACGAATTGAAAATAAAAATAGTATTTTAATAAAAAAATAACATTTATTTCTATAAACGCCTGTATTATACAATTAGAACATGAATGCCAGTCAACAGCCAAAAAATGTCATCAAAATAAATTGGCGCGAAAAATGAGTAACAGTTTTTCGTTTTAGGCAAAATTGATTGGCCGAATCATATAGTCACAACTGTCTCAAACGCTTAAGTATTGATATTCCGTCTCGTTCTATCATTGAAACAATACTAAGCCCTTTATTCATAAAAACATTAAACCTTTATTGAAAGAAAGAGACAAAACTATATTAGTTTGTAGGTTTAGTTTTTATGAACAAAGGGGTCACGCCTTTACTAAGGCATTGTTCGCATACAGCCGAGCCGTGTCAATTCGAAGTTAAGACTATGGAAACCAAAGTTATGTAAAGTAAAATTAGTGCTTTGTTACAGTAATATTATTGATAACACCAAACATTTTTACACATTACCAATAGATTGTTTACTGTGACAAGGTACAAACGTGTTTACACGCCTGTAGCATCTACTTCCAATGATATTGCGACATTATGTACATTAAAGGTACATTTCTTGCTTGTTCTTGTTCTTATCAAGGATTGCATTTTGGGACTTTCAAGTCTCCAGGTATCCACGTACCGCCAATATTTCCATCTAGTGACAACTCTCTTCCTACCCTCAAACTTCTCCAAATATCCAATATTCAATGGACTTGATGCTATGTCAATAATTAATACTTTTCGATCATCTAAATTGGACTTAATACTAATATTTCAAGCTGACACGACTCGGCTGTTTGAGTCAGAATTAGCTTATTCATCATAAATATCTCACTAACCATCGACAATTTTTTTCTTCAGATTTTTTCATATTATTTCATAATGTTTGTTCTCAACAAATCACATTTACTAGTCTTTTTTTTAATTCATTATGATTACGATTTGTCACTTAAATAAAGAGAACTTAATATCTTACAGTTTAGCAGTTACAGGCCGAGTATATATATCTATTTCTGTATATACATATTTATACTCGGCCTGTAAATTTAACACTGATTCAAATTCAAATATGAATAAAAATTGAATTAAAGGACAACCAGTATTAAATATACAGCTAAATCTCAATAGGCCAGCTAGAAAAGAAAAAAAATACTATACTACGCTGACCATTTTGTTTATGCCAAATTATAATAACATTAAAAGAAAATCTCACCATTATTATAAAATGACAGAGCATCTCAAAATCGGAGTTTACTCATTTTGAATTTTTCACATTATATTTTACATTTTTTTTAGTTAAATAATCTCCGATTTTGTCATACTTCCTTATATACTTATATGTCAGTTATATACGATATATATATATATATATATTGGTAAATCACACAAAATATATACGGACAGTAATTACAGCATATAAAAACAAAATGCGATATATAACTGACATATAACATATTAAAAGCACCCTATTCCCAGGGTATACGGTGTCAATTACCGTTTTAGTTACAGCATCCCCGCACCTGACCACTTTATCTCATATACAGACCGATTTTGGCTCAGTTTAAATATATATATTCGAACAATATATAAATATTTTTTTCTATCGTTGGTTATTTGTTAACATCAAAAATAATTTTTAGTTTGTTAAAGGTGCTAATCAGTTTATTTTAACGGCATGTGAAATTAACTTTTTAATATATAAGTATATACATATATTGATTGAATTTGTTGTAAAAATTAATTTCCTATAATTCTCTACGTCCAGTGTATTCTATTTCAGTCTTCAAGCAGTCATTACATGTAGAATATATATCATTAATGCATATAACATACAAAATGGTCATACACAAATAAATTCTGATTACACGAGTTATATGATATATGTTTAACATATACTAATGCAATATGTACTATATTCAAATGTTTTCTTAATAAAATTTGATTTTTATATTAATGTCACATCTATTATTGCTTTTTAGCGTGAATATAAACATTGAATGTCAATGCAAGCGATCGTTACAGGCATTTTATATAATTTATATGCACAATATATCTTGTAGCGTCGTATAGAGATTACAGAGTAATTGTATAATATATACAATTATATTCCACTGGTCGAATACTATATATTTCTAAATATTTACAAGTAGTCCACGCCGCAAGTTCATAACTAGTCGAAACATGTAAAAACTTGCGACGACCGTACGAGCCAAAACCGTCCGTGTCAACAGAAAAAAAACTGAAAAAAAAGTCGGTAGAAACCGTTACACTACACTAGTGAGGTCCGTAAGTTGTTGCGGAGGAACGTCGACACACGTGGCGCTATGGCGAGCGCGGAAGTGACGTCACTTGGCCGCATGCCCGTTCCCCAATCCTGGCTCGACCACCTGCAAAGCGAGCGACCAGTCAGCGCGCGCGCAGTCGTGTGTCGTCGTTCCTAATGAGGCTGCAAGGGCTTTTATCGGACGGGGGACAAACATACAAATAGACCCCGCGGTCCTCCAATTCAATATACAGACTTTGGAGGGTTAAAAAACCGGATTTACAGTCGCAATAGCTTTCATTTCGCATAACCCGTTGACGACGACTGCACTTTAGTTTCACAGTGGTTTACTAAAATCGACGGGTGATACAAAACTGAACGTTATTACGATACACATAAAGCTGATTTTTGAACAGCTCCAAAGGATCTGTATAAAGCACCCACCCGCCACCAGGGTTTTAAAGAAGCGGAAAGACCCAGCAGATTATGTAGTGCGATTTTTTAACCCGTTCCAAAGTGGTGGAATTAGTTCGGCCAGTATTGGTTGGTTAATTTTTTTTTTTGGAACGGTTTTGAGCCCCACAGGTCACGATGTACACAGCTGCGCGCAAGCTAAATATTTAGCTGTTACATTCAAAAATAACCGAAAAAAAAAATAACAATGATGTACAGTCAGCGACATATAACTTGAACAATAATGATAATGGAGAAGATATTCAGTATATTTTTTTATCTATTAATGGATTCAACGTAATTGCAATGATTTCTTATATTAACCAGATTCATATTGAAAAATTTATGATTATATATTTCACGGTAGATCTTAATTGTAATAAATGACTGAAATTGTATTCGAAATGAGTGGTAGATCCAAAAACTGTTAAGACAATGAGTAAAATTTAGATTGCTTGATTAACTATTATTTATGCGACTGTAATAATGAATAAAAATGTTGATTAAATATAAAAAAATAATATTTTAATTACTTTCGATAAAAAAATAAAATTATAGCATTTCACAATCACTTTTGTTGTATTATATAATTACACATAATTACTAACAAACTTCAATTGCAACTGATTAAAATCATCAAATCTAAATACCTTTATTCCTATAGGTCTATTACAGATTCTTACATGTTACAATAACTTTCTAATTTTATATGAACCATTCGACAGTTACAGTTTCAAACTAAGTTATACAGATTGCAATTGCAACTGTCCAAATATTCATACATTATAGTAAACTATTAAATTTCAATGAAAATAAGATATCATTGCAACATCGTTACTTAGGCTACCTCGTATCGATTGTTCACGTTACCAGCTGACATCTATATGTTGATTAAATGCAATCTGATGGATTGGTGAAGGAGTTATCAAAAACACATATTAGAAATTACATAACATTGAAATTATTATATTTATAAGCAATACCAACGGTTGCAATTATGCAACATTGTTACTAACAATTCTTATTTGAAACAGATTAAGATCAACAATTTTGCAATTATCTATAAACAGTTGCAATTGCGAACCGTAAAACTCACGTCACTGCAACTCCCAAATAGCTTATAGACAATCGCAAACCTATCAATTTTAATCAGTTACTGAATTGTTAATAACAAAGTTACATAATCAAAAATCATATATATAATCAAAATATCTTCCCGTTTCAATTAAAACAAAGTATACAAAACATGTTTTTACCATTATGTAGATTACTTGAACCTACTGCTAATATTCCTCGAGTGAAACGAATTTAAATTGTCATATCAGCGATTATATTAGTACGATTTGACAGTTTCACAATTTTTATACTGTTAACTGTAACATTTGAGAATCAAAATGGCTATAAAGCTATAAATTTACAATGATTTCAAACGAGAAATATTAGCAATGTTATATAATCCAATGACTGGTATTAACAAGTTTATATATACGTATACATGTTTAAAATATTGTATATAATAAGTGTTGTATACATCGACATCATATATATATTTGTATATTATATACAAGTATATATAATATATTTAATATCAATAGAAACAGTCGGTGGGGATGGATATTGAACGTTTTTTCACCATCAGATCACATATTTCCAGATACAAATTGAGAGGACAGGAGAGGGATAAAATACACAAAAAATACAACACACAAAGCCGAACTTCAAATGTAACAGCCAAATATGTATAAAAACAGTGCTAAACTTACAGACTTAGTGATAAAAAATGTGTGGAAGCGACAATTACATGCATCCTTTGTACTGTCCATTGCAGAAATAACGAGTTTCAATTACTAATATATATATATATATACAGAAATTATATATTCTGTGGATACATTCTAGTTTATGGACTCCAGGGATGTCAATTTAAAAAACAAAAACGAATCATCAATAGAAAGCCATAATTTTTGCAATGGGCATTTATTAAAAAAAAAATCGGTATACATTTTTGTTGAATATCAACAAACCGGTCCAGGCTCTATTCGATAATTAAAACATGTTTAATTCCAATTTAAATGAGCAAAATCGTAATCAAATCGAACCTGTACACAATATTTAATTTATCATTTATAAAACGAAAACAATAACATATTCTTTCCAAGTCAACAACACACAGTTGTAAAGTACTCTTAATCAAAGTACGATTTTCTAATATATAACCGGAAATAATCGGTTCTTTTTATATATAAATAGTGACATTAAAACATTTATAAGCAATTTCAATTAATACAGACGTAAATATCAAAAATATATATATATATTAGAAATAATTCGTTCTTTACTAAATAATTACACTTATTCGACAATTAACTTATAAACTTATGAAATTCTTGATGGTAATCTCATTTTATAAAATTTACAATTTACAAATAATCTTATGAAAAAAAAACAAAAATAACGATCCTAGATAAAACGAAATTTACATAATTTAATAATAAACCAAATGGTCTATGAGATTTTTATAAAATTAATTAATTGTATTTAATTATATTTAACAAAAACTAATTCTTTCTTATTTCTATTATAGTACAAACTGATTTTCAATCAAAGAAATGACTTAAATACGCTTATAACAAGATTGTCATGTTTTCTTTATACAAATAATTAAGTATTATAATAAAATATCAAACTTAAGTACACGTTTCTAGTAATTATGGTAATAATTGATTAATAAAGTTTTTTTTATGTGTAACTACTCAAAAATGGTAACAAGGATGGCACCACTGTGTATAAATATTTTTATGTGCAAATTAAATAATTAATATAAAAAAATGATCTAATGACCACAAACCAAATTTTGTTACAATATAAATAGAATTTATAAAAATATTGTACACTGATGAACTCAGTTAACCCATCTCGCGAGTAATTCCAATGACCTTTCATTTTTAGTAACTAAAAATTAAGAGGCGAGTACAGATGACACTCTAGGAGCGGCTGAAGACGAACTCCCGCCTGACGCATACGACTTCAGTCTGAGGGCACCGCTAGAGTTTCGAACCTCGGCTCAGGCCGTCGTAATTTCGATCTCCGTTCGGACTAGAGATCAATCCGAGGAGAAATAATTAATTCTAATTTATTAGCATTCTATGTTATCAGTTAAGTTTGTGAACACCATTTTTTTTATATTAATTATTCAGTATTAAAAGCACTAGTCATTTATCAAAAATAAACAATAATATTTACAAAATTTACAATATATAATAAAGTTACAAGTACTTTCGTAAACTTGAATTACTCTCTCGATTTCTATAAACTGTTTCAAGCGCAGCCTCAATAATGTGCTAACGGAAAAACTACAAATTATAAAAAATCTACTTTAAAGGTAACAAATTAAGGTCCATTTTCCATAATTTGTAATCAACCCAGTACATTATTAAGTATGCTAAATGTTTATATAAAAATAATCGCACAAAATATTAATACTAAAGTTGGCTTTGAACTCTTAAAAGCTCTAAACTTAAGGAACATTGTGTAGAGACCCTGTATTTTTTTTTTTATACTTTTTCAAGATTTTTGAGCAAGCCTTAAACATTCACAATATACAAATCATACATTTATAATAATTAATATAAACTAATTGGACATAATAACTGACAGTTCTACTGTGGAGTCTAATTCAGTAACATTGGATCGTATTTAGCATTTCTTGACTTTTACACTACAAACGTTAACTTGTGATATGGTAATAGATCATCTTATTAATATTATACACGCGAATGTTTGTGAGTGTAGTTGGATGTTTGGTACACTTTCATGTAAAAACTGAACGGATTTTGATGAAACTACAATAACATAGCTCGTACATCAGAATAACACATAAAAGATATTTTTATATTGAATGAACGATTAAAAGTACAACAAATTATTGAATACAAAATTAGACTCTAGAATATAATAAAAAAATTTAAATAACTAAAAAACATAATTAAAGCTGAAATGGTAATGTGTATAGAGAAATATATTTACAAATTTATATATTATGTGATGATACATCTAAGGTGCCATTCATAAATTTCGTCACACGATATTCAAGCTTTTTCAACCCATAACCCCTTGCTTGTCACATTTGTGAGAATCTCCTTTCCCTGTGACATTTGTGAGAATACCCTTCCTTGTCACATTTGTAAGAATACCCAGACCAATGTGACGTTACATATTTTGTACTTTAAATAAATGAATTATTTTACTAGAAATTAAAACAGTTTGTTTTAATATTGTTAGATTTTCTATTTCAAATGTGAGGTCACGATATTTATGGATCATTCATACAATGTCACACTTTAGTGCGTGACGTAACTTACGGATGACACAGATGTCATTGTTACAACTAATGTTTGTGTTTATATACCGTATAAATATAATTAAATGGAATGTGATATATTAATAAAATGTAAATAACTTAATATTCAACAATATACATACACATTTTTACTTATTCATGTACTCAACAAATATATATTTTGTAAATAAATTACAATATGTGACAACTATGATACACTCTAACATAGTTATCATACTACTAGGCTACTATATTATAGAAATATTATAATATGTGATAAATATATTATACTCGAACATAGTCATCAAATAGGCTATTTTATTATATAAATATTATTTATGAAAATATTACAATATGTGATAACTATGTTATACACGAAAATAGTCATCAAATAAGCTATTATATTATAAAAATATTATTTATGAAAATATTATGTGATAACTATGTTATACTCGAACATAGTTATCATATAGGCTATTATATAAATTTTTTTTATATATTTTATTTAATATATTTAAATATAAATAACGCTTAATAGAAGCATGATAATATGTTTTAAAACTATGTATATATATATTTTAAAAACTAGTGACAATAATTAGTGATGTGAAAATAGTATATAAATATATTGGTGTATACATTTTGTACTCTTTGCAACATTAAAACCTTCAAATATAAAATATTATATTTTATACACATTAAATAACATTGTATACAAAAAGTATATCATAAAATATGCAATACAATTTATTAGCAGCAACCGTCATATTATAAAAGAGTATACTCGTTTAGTATATAATATTGCATAAAGCCCATTAATTTTGAAATATATAATTTTTTTTATCACAATGTAAATAATGCTACAATAAATTAGTGATGTTCGAAGCATTACATACATATATCGATTAAAATTGACGCATCAAACTGAATAAGTTTTGAAATTATATCATATATGAATTTATAATAGAAATAAAAATTATTCAAATAAACTTTTGAATACACCACAAGCTCGGCTTTATAAATGGAAAGAAGGTTTGTTTTACTTTTATTATATGAAATGTAAAAAAATTTTCAAAAAACATAATTGAAAACCTTTTTGACAGATAGAGAGACGTAAGTATATACAATATATATATAGCAGCCATATTTTAAGGATTCAGACGTTTTATTTAAAGGTTAAATTACATTATGTCATAGAAATAGTAAAAAATATATATTGAAAATTGTAAATAAAGTTTTAATATATTGATTAAAAAGGTAATTTGTATTTATGAAAACGAAGTCACAGAAAAAAATACGGTAAAGGTAAAACAGTGAATGATTTTGAAATCACAAAATAGGTTACGAGATTTTAATTCTTATGATTTCAATTGGGGGGCTATATAAAGGGGGTATATTGGTCACTAGCTACTTGCCCCAGCGTGCTACCTGAACGCATTTTGATGTAAGTTTACAGTAATACAGCTTTAACATCATAATAACATACAGGCTATAAATTTCACGTGGGTGAAAACCGCGGGCACAGCTAGTGTTGTGTATATAGTAATGATATTCAATATATATTACAATTTCAAAACTTATAAGCGATTTAATAAACAATAAGGCTTGCATTTATCAAGTATAGTAAATATACTATAAAATAATTAATGTAACTTGTATATATTTAAGTTAACTCACCAATTGTTAAGACAATTTCAACTAGTCCTAATATAAATAAAAAATGCTAGCATCTTAGTCAGTCAAAATATACAAATATATATATCTTTAATCTTTATATACTAAGGTAAATAGTATAGCTGCATATATCTAATAAATTCAGGTGTCGGCATCTTAGCTGATTCAAAAATTGTGACCAAATTGTATACGTTTGTCACGTTTCGATATATCCTGTATACATTCCTATATTTATGAATACACTTATAAAGAATAGTTATGACTGAATTTTTATACCCGGTGCCGGACATAATTTCAAAGGTTTCAAAGGATGAACACATATTGTATGATCTTTCATTTGGATAAATGTTTGTGTTCACTGTACACACGATACTGGACTTTGAGACACTGAACTTCGTACTAAAGTATGCTGAAATACTACTACTATACTACAGAGCCGGTACGAAAAAAAACAGTAATATTTGTTCAAACTTTGTACAAATATTTGCCTGCCGACTTTGTAGACAGTTAAAACCGTAATAATTGTCCAAACTTTGAACAAATGTTTGCTTGCCGATTAAAACAGCTCAAAGTTTGAACAAATATTTGCTATATGCACTTCGTTGGTAGTTGCGTGTTTGAAACTACGTCCGACGGCGGGTGTCGTGAGTTGCGACGGGCGTCACTCCGGGGGCGGCGGGGGCACCGGGGGCGGCGGCATGGCGGGCAGCGGGGGCTGCGGCCGCGGCGGGGGCTGCGGGGGGCGCGGCGGGGGCTGCGGGGGGTGCGGGGGGTGCGCCGCGTGCGGGCCGTACATCGCCGGGTAGAAGTAGTCCATGTGCATGCCGTAGTATGCCATCGGCGGGGGCGGCGGCCGCACCATGTAGTACGGGAGGGGGGGCGGTACATTCCAATTGCCTACCTTGGGTGCTGGCGCTCCGTTGTGCCTGGCCATCTTCGGCGGAGGCCCGGGCTCCGGTCCCGCGCTCCTCTTCCTCGACGTCTCCAAGACCTCCTTGGAGATCTTGATCTTGAGGCCGGAGGACTGCGGCGGGGGCGGCGGCGCGGCAAGCCTGTCTTTGGGTATCTTGATCTTGAGACCTGGACTGGAGGCGAGCTTCTCCCGGGGGATGGTGATCCGCAGGGCCCCATCCGCCGGGGCCTCCGCCGCCACCGGCGGGGGGCTCTCCCTCTTTTTATCTTTATCCTTCTTGTGTTTCTTCCTCTCCTCTTTGGATTTATCGCGGTCTTTGTGTTTGTGTTTGTCTTTCTTTTTCTTTTCCTTTTTGTGTTTGTGTTCGGCTTCGGTGGGGGGTTGAGTCGGGGGCGCGGGATCGGGCTGTTGCGGGACGGGGGCGGGAGGGGGAGGATCGACCGGCTCACGCTTTATTTCGGGCGACTTTCTCTCCGTGGGGACCGTGATCGGGACGGGTTTCGCCAGACTCTCTTTCAGGAGATTCGAGACGAGCGTGGGGTCCGTCTCTATGCCGTTGAGAGACCTGGCCGGCTCCGGCTTCCTCTGCTCGGGCGGCTTCGTCCGGATAGAGGAGCCGCGCTGCGAGTCTCGCAGCACATTCTCGTAGCCGGGCGTCTCGTCTATCTTCTTCATCACCGGTACCAGCTCCGGCTCCGAAGCGGAAGGCACCCGCGGCCGGGGACGCTGCTGCTGCGGCTCCTGCTTGACGCCGGGCGGCGACGAGAACGGCGACAGTATCGCGGGCGGCTGCATGTCGCGCACGGCGAGCGAGGGGTCGGGCCGCCGGCGCGGGCTGGCGGGCGCGGGCGGGGGCGCGGCGGGGGGCGGCGCGGGGCGGGGCTCCTTGCGGGGCGCGGGCGCGGGCGGGGGCGGCGCGGGCGCGCGGCGCGGCGCCGTCGCGGCGGCGAGGGGCGCGGTGGCGTTCTCCGGGGAGAACAGCGAGGGCGGCCTCGTCCGCTGCTGCTCGGGCGGCGGGTGGGGCGTGTGGGGCGTGTGGGGCGTGTGGGGCGGGTGGGGCGGGTGGGGCGCGGCGGCAGGCGGCCCGGGGCCCGCCGCGGGCCGGTGGTGCCGGTGATCCTGGGGGGGCTTGTGGTGGGGTGGCTTGGCGTGATGCGGCCAGGGATGATGGGGTTTGTGGTGTTGGCTCGACGGCCTGTGGTGGGGCGGAGGTTGCCCGGGTCTGGCGGGAGGGGCGCCCGGTCTGGGTTGCTGCATGGCGGCTTGCCGTCTCTCTCTCTCCCGTTCCTCTCTCTCTCTCTTTTCTCTGTACAGGTTATAGTCTATCTTTTGCGGTTGCTGCGCGTTGGCCGGTGCAGCCGTGGCCGGTACGTAGCCACCAGGAACTGGTTGACGACGCCTTTCCCTTTCGTACTCTGTGGAAAAAATGCAAATTTAGGCAAACTATACTACACTTCTTACAAAAAATCATAAATGATTAGAGCAGTTTCAATATAGAACTTTTTAATAGCATTGTGGTTGAACCTAAACAGCTTTACACGATGAATAATTATAATAGTAACTCCAAGACGATTCCCACAGCACCATTCAGTCCCAAACTAAGCGTTCGCGTTATGGATACTCGTCAAGTGTTATAAATATTTAAATACTTTTTTTGTAAATATATACATTAAATACATAGACAAATATTCAGACCAATACAAAAAGTCATACTAATAAAATTAAATGTTTGCATGATGCGAGAAATCGAACCCGCGACCATCAGAAAAGGCGTTGTGTGAAATCGCTAAACCACCGAGGCTGTCAAAAATGTGTATACCAACTATCAGAATAGTTCACTACATACAATCGGCATACAAATGTTAAAGCTTCATACCTTTGTCGAAAGACTTGTCGAATTCATCAGAGGGTCCCGCGATGGAGTGCTTCTTGTCAGCCGAGCCCGCACCGGAGCCCGAGGTACTCGCGTGGGCGCCTGAATGCGGGGACCCTCCACCTGGGAACACATTTATATTATAATAATATACAATACTAGTCGAGTCCGCGACTTCGTTCCATATAGTTGTGTTGTATGTAAACCAAATAGATTAAAACAAACAGAAAATCTTAAGGGAATTTTACCACATTATATTAGTAAAAACAGTACCAAATTTGTTGTCTTTTGAGATTAGGTAGCACTCTCAACCTCACAGACAAACCGACGAAAATTTTTAAAATTATTATTTCTCTTTCTATTACCTCAATAATTGTATTTCCATGTACATACACTATACAGTTAAATTTATATTTTATTATTATGGGTGCATTAGAAAGCCCCAAAGTATTTCCTACTAAGATTTTCAAATCAAATTAAACAATACATCTTTACTGAATCATACCTACTATAATCTAATCTATTTTAAATAACAACTACAAATCTGCGAGACACCAATATAATAAGTCATAAATTTTAAATTAAAATATATATATACATAAATTAATTATCTAAATGTGTTTCTAATCCTTTATGTTATTTATATTGCCTTTATATTATATTTAATTTCATTACTACTATGTTGCTATTTGTGAAAACCTGCCAGGTGCTTAGTTTTTTTACAAATTATAAAAAAAATGGAGTATTCTAATATATAATTACTGTAATTGCTTTATTATCATTTATGTAGTCCCTAATATTAATAACGCGCGCACGATACGTCCGTTCTGTTCGCAGGCTGCACATATAATGCCCATTTTGTCCAAGTTACTGTTCATAGATCTTGTATCCCATCTCTCAAGAAGTGATAACACTAATATTAAGGGAATACTCGTCATACTCGTGAACAGGTGCTACTTGTGGACTGGTCTGTACTGGTTACAGACACTGATTTTCGTTTTGAAAAAAACTATTTCGTTTTGAAAAAATTGCAATAGCTTATGCTGGTAACTCTATTCTCCCTAATTTAAATTTAAAAAACATATATACACGAATTATAGCACGAATGTACTTCGTACATAAAGATAATTTGATTTTGAAAAAAAATATTACAGGTCCTATGCAAAGATATGAACTCACTGTTGGTAGTCATCGACATCATCTTCCTCTTGAGCCGTGAGGGACACTTGTCGAATATGTGCAGAAACTCAGCGGTCAATCGCTCGAGGAGCTCGGTAGTCACGCTTCGGTCCACGTACGAGAACCAGTGCCGGCCCTCGTGCGACTGTGGTATCTAAGACATAAAAACAAAAAAAAGTCAGCAAATAATATTAATGTAAGCACTTTTGAATAGTAACATTTTTTTATTCTACCACTCTTTCAAGTGCAGACTCATCACAAGAAGAATAAGAAAGAAAATTGTGTGTTGCTCTTAAATGTTGCTTTAAGTAGATTTCTTGAAGAAGAAGACTGTGGTATGTCATAAATAGAAATAGATAAAAAATCTATATTCAAATATAAAGTTTTGAAGTCTTTTTACCTGGGCACGTGCCCAGGGCCCTGCGATGGATTGGGCCCCGTAGTCTAGTCCCTACTCCATTACCGATAACTACTCTACTCTCGTCTGAAATTCAATTTTAACAAGTGCTTACCGACTATGGTCAATTTGTTCGTTTTTTAGTAAATGTCTAGCAGGAACTCTTCATCACATAACGACTTTTTAAAATTATTTTTGCCTGGATTATTTTGAAGGTAGGGCATAGACATATACATATAACAGACATATCTAAAAAGTCACGTTCAAAAATGACTTTGTCTATTCTAACAAAATATTGCTTTATTACTATGGTCATAGGGGCCCCATTATCCTACCGTCCCCAGGGCCTTAAATAGGTGAAAGACGGCCCTGTATTACATAAAAACTCACCGCCCAGTTGCTCCATTTCGATGCCAAATGTATGCAGAAGCAGGCCACAACCGTCGGCCTGTACTGTAGGCACATTGTCGTTAAATGGAGACTGTTCGATGCCATAAAATATGAGGTCTGCGCCAAATCCTTTGGAGCTGTGGACCGATACATAACAATTAATGGAGTATACTCTAAACATCAGTCTCGGACTATATGGGGGTGAACAGATAAATCACAAAGAACAAGGGATTAGTAATGGGCAATATTTTTAATGGATCAAAATGTAATGGTTCACACGCGTAAAGGTGGTTTACGCTGGCGGGAATCAGTGGAAGATGATAGGATGAGTATGTAATAAGTTAGTTATCCAGTTGTAACATTCACTAGGAATTTATATGTGCGTATAATTAGTAAACACCACGGGATCTTACCACCATCTTTATTTTTGTTGAGTTCCCGATATATCGGCTGTGTTTGAACCGCCATGATCACGGGTAAACTGAGTTTATCGTGGCGAAATATAGGATCCCGTAATTTTTACTAATTATACATAACAAATCAAATTTAAAACAGTATATAATTTGTACGTGGGTTCCAGAGGGAACCGCGTCGAGATCAACCTAACATAGCACATTGCAATGGAATCATCAGTCTACATTACTAACAATCCCCTTTCCCCACTCGTGACAAATTCATCTGGAATTTATAATGATGGGGAACCGTAGAGAGGTCAACCTAACACGGTATATTACTAGCAATTCCCTTAAATGGACAATATTGTTATCGTAATGAACCATGTTAGGTAGACATCCACTTAATGCAAATATTAATAATAAGAACAAGGTGGATAGGATTATTAATTGGCAATATAGGCCCCACTTCTGGCTGTGTACCATCAGTGAGGTCCATTATTAGTGAATTCGCTATGATGGCTTACTGAGCTCACTTCATACTCATCATATCATCCTCAACTAGTACTCCCACCCTCTTCTTCAGTATTTGCCAACAACGCAGACGGGTGTACGGTCATATTTTGAATATCTTAATAATATTATAAACGCGAATGTTTGTAAGTATGGATGTTTATTACTCTTTCATGCAAAAACTACTGAACGCGGATTTTGATGAAATTTTACAGTAATATAGCTTATGCATCACAATAATAAATAGGCTATTTTGTATGAAACCGCGAGCATAGCTAGTATAAAAAAATCATATATACGAAATTTAATTACAACCAGAGTGGCATAGTTAGTTCTAGCCTTGATTCAGACTCCCAAAGGGAGTGAATTCGAATCTGGCTGAATAAAATTTGTCTGACAATTTATTATTTCCGTTTATGGAAACTAATAACAAAACAAACATAAACGAGAGACGGCGTCAAATATAAGTTATATGTTAGTATATCAAGTGTTGCGTTTACTTTAACAAGGGCGTGTTTACAATACTTTTTTTTTTAAATCTAACGTCAAGTCTGTAGATTTGTACAAATAAATTTGACCTTTCTTATTAAACCATCGCCATTATGTCTAGCCATTCGTTGTCAGTTATAAAAATCATTCAATTATTAATTTGACTGTCAAAGTCAGATCTATACAAGTAATAGGAATATTTTTCGAGGAAAAATGAAATGTAACTCTGATAAAATTACTTTTAGTATAAAAATACTACTATTTATAGAAACAAATTCCGATCCTGTGATATTGGATTGCGTCTTTTCATAAAGCTACCAAGGTAAAAGTCGTCTGCGTATGTACCTCACTCACACCTATTTCAGCTGCCAAGCAGCTTGCCTTGTAAGATGTGTTTCGGTTGAAGAGCGAGATGAGTCAGTGAAATTACAGAATAAGAGGTATGACAGTCATCCAGTATGGTAACGCAGGAGTGATATATCACAGCATGATGTGATAACGTGATGGCTGTAGTCAACCGACAGCTAGTTTGCCATTTCTATTATATTGTAAATTCGATATATCGTGGATCCTGAAAAAGCTAATGCGGATTAGACTTTAGTTTCAAATTCAATGTACAATCCTAAATTTTATTGCATTGTAATCTATATTGAGATTATAACTCCAGAGAGAAGAACTCCAGACCTACAATTCTATTTTGCCAAATATATCTATAGACAGTAAAAAAATATATTGAATGTAGAACATTGTTTTTGGCAGTCAGTAGAACCAGTACCATAGATTAATTAATAATATCTCAGGACAATTCACACAGCGTCATTTAGTCCAAGCCAAGCAGAGCTTGTGCTATGGGTACTAAACAACTGACATAAACACATATTATACATAGAAAACAAACAGGCCGATACAGTCATACTCAAGCATACAAAGTTCGTACCGTGCAAGGAATCGAATCTGCGACCTTCAAAAATAAGGCGGTGTTCTAAACCGATAGAATACTGAGGACGTTAATTAGTGACAGATATAATTAGGTTCTATAGAAAAAATAATAATATTTCAGAGATAGTACGCAAGGGTGACAATTTGTCATCGTGACAATATCGTCTCAGTAGCATGACAAAACAAGATACGTACGTACATACATATATACATATATATCACAAACCATATCTGCAGTGCGTAGACACCTATCTACTTTTATTTATATCTATATATTGCATATTTAATAAACAATATTAGCAGGCGTTTTTATAAAATGTTATGGTTTAATGTATATTATTGAAAAATAGCAGGACTAAAACTAATTTTAGTTATAAAATAACCAAGGAGAATTCACACAGCACCATCTAGTCCTAAGCTAAGCAGAGGCTGTGTTATAACAAGTGATATTAATACTTAGATACATTTTTATAGACGATATACAATTATAAAAAATTAAAAAATACTTTTTATAATTTTTGGTCCATTATTTTAAGAAAAATCATGGCACAATCATTCATAACGTATATTCTACAGAAATCGTCTTGAGACATACCTAACGATGTATTTTTTTTAACCTCAGTAATTCACTGCCATATCTCATCCAGACCTAACACGGCGTGGCAACATGCTACTCGGTAGAAGACAAATAAGCGAGCCATAGGTTCTAAGATTGCTCATCAACACCCCCTAGAGAATTGAAGGTTGGTTGCTCCCGAGGCACGTTTCTTTGTCCAGGCATCAACCCCCTGGTAACTGGGTTGTAACCCTCTTAGGGCCGGAATTAAGTTATAATGCAATAAAATTAAACTAAACTTAACGTAACTTAAGAATTAGTGCCGTACTTGGGGACTAATTTTATTTTTTATTTTTTTTATGTTGAGTGGCTCAATGTTGTGTCATATGTTCAAAATTTACGGCAACGTTGCATATGGAGTAATGGCGGCCATTTAATGATGACAAGTTGTCATGCTGACAATTTGTCACGCTGACAAAATGTCACCCATGCGTGCTACTTTTAAGGGACAAATACAAGCCAACAGTGAAATGTGCTGAATAGGACTTTGTGCTTAGGATCAGCTCTAATATAATCAAGCTGTTTTTGGTTTTATATAAGTTGACGAAAGCTAGGTCTAGTTAGGGGAAAAAATCTTAATGAGTTATTGTATTTATTTTATAAAATATATATTAATACTAATAAAATGTATATATTTAGATTTTATTAGTATTAAGACTTTTAACCCCAACTATACCCAAGAATTAGAAATGGAGATGAGTGTGAAGATTTTGGGTGACACACATATTTTTCAGTTTTTTTTTTACATACCTGGCTGACATTGCGAAAATGTCATACATTGCCTGATGGGTCTTTTCGCACATTTTTTTATCGCTTACGGCTAAGTTCTATGCGGTTTTGAGGTGGTAGTGTTTTTTATATTTATTACCAATTTTATTAGAAATTGACGAAGTTTAACTTCCATATTAAGTTTGCAATAGTATAATGGTAAAAGAGACGTAAATGTCATGAAAAATTAAATAAATAAAAAACGTAAAATAAGTCAATGATTTGATATTATAACTGATGACAGTCAAATAAAAATCATTATCGTGGAATTAACATACATATAACAGTATGAAAACATTCAGATAACAGAAAAAAAAAACAAAAATACTTGAAACTGGCCATAAGACTGGAAGTCAAACGCCGTTTTAAATTTTAAAAAGAAAAAACACAGGCCACCATCAAACCAACTACCGCATTCGAAATTTGAACTGGCCGCACGCGCGACAAGCGTTCCTAGAGTAGCCAATCGCGTTCCGGCCACGTATACGCCCGTCACCGGTACGGTATCACGTGACAGCACTTTCGGACGCTTGTCTCACCTTTTACAAGGTGACACGTGCGTACCACGTGCGTGTGCGGGTGGTCGATCGCAACATCGAACCCTAATGTCTGTAGGAGTACGTTCTCGTTGAATACCAGGTCCTGCGCCTGTAACAATGTACTTAGTATTAAAAAATAATATTTTTTCTAAATGGATGTAAGACCATAACTTATAAAACATATTCATTATATATTATTATACATCAATATATATAAATGCAGCTTTATATATTATAGAAATGAATCCCTATTTTCCATGGTCACGGCATCACGAGGGAACGGCTGGACTGATTTCGCAAGAAAATATTAAATAACAAATTACGATTACGTTATGATAATTAATTTATAAGAATTTGTTAATTCAATTAAATAAAAATCAATATTACATAATTTCCTATAAATATAATACGATATATCAAAATAATAAATAATGTAAGGAATAATATTTAAAAATAGTAAAGATATATCTTAACCACCCAAATAAGTTGTATTGATGTATTCCCCTTTTTGAAATATATCCAACATTTAACGGGTACACAGCCTTGGCAACCTTATCAATTGGAACTCTTTAAAATATAAAAAATATATATTAGATACTGTTGCTAACTGGCACCTTCTGTTAATACCTAGATAAGATTTTATTTAAGCAAATACTAGCTGATTACGGGTGGATCCCAAATCCGTTACCATTGATCTTACTAATATTATAAACGCAAAAGTTTGTGAGTATGGATATTTGTGGAATGAACTACCTACATCACGAGACTATGGGGTATTTCAAGAAAGGTATATTATGGTTTCTTAAGGGTCAGCAACGAGCATGTGACACCCCTGGTGTTTCAGGCGTCCATAAGCTACGGTAAGTGTATATCATCAGATGGGTCATATAACTGTTATCATACACCATCATAATTTAGAGAAAAAGAGGAAGGGGGTGATGCAGAGTACATATGTACGTAAGAAGTGATAGATAGATAGATAATAATTTTTATTTGTCTTAGTACACACATATAGGCTTAATTATAACGTACATAACAAGTATAACATCAGAAAGGGTAAACCTGCATGTGTGCTAGAGCAATACAAAACTGTTACATAGCTCAGTGTGGAGAATCACTCAAGAAGCAAAACACTGATTTTCAGCTATGTCCTCGAGGATGGCATGTGACAGATAATAAATATATATGTATTATCTGTCTGATAATAATACGTATAAACAAAGGGCACAATAATTACCTGTTCTGTATATTGTTCAGTGGTGAGTCCATTTACACTCTCACCTCTGTGGAGGCAGACGTGGGCCACTTTTATTACAAACTCTAATTTTCTGGGCTGCTCCTCGACCTGACGAAACAAAAATTCATGTAAATCACACACAACTGTCCAAATGTAAGACAGAATGAGGAAAAGGAGGTCTTACGTACAATTAGGAAAAATCGCGTTTCATTTATTTTTATAGAAATCCCCGATTTTATTTAAAACAGAAAAGGAGTTCGTTTTATATTTACATTAATGTTAGTTGCAAAGGTAATGTTTATTAACTTCTATAGTGTTCGGTGTTTCATCAGGTGATACTATTTACATGAATAGCATCACAGTCATCACCTTTTTACACTGTTATGTCACTGCCATATCTTAATCAAATGGAACAGCTTGAGAAGCAAGCTGCATGGTGGCATAGCAAGATTATCGCAAACATAAAGATAGATGTGAGATTTTCTCGATAGTTTTTCAAGAAGGGTTTAGAGAGCTTACTTGACACCTCTGATGTTTCAAGCGTCCATAGGCTACGGTAAGTGTTTATCATCAGATGGGTATCTTGTTTGCCATCATAATAGTGTAAAAAAAGTATATATCAGTTACCTTTGCGGCGAGGAACAGGGCAGCGGCTGCTATAGCGTTCCTGTGGAACTGTGTGAATGAGTGGAACGCGTAGAACCGGTGCATATAAACAATAGCTGTGTTGATACATAGTTGTGAGCTGTTGGGTGCTTGGTTAAGGAAATATCGTCTTTTTTACATACACATAGGATACAAATAAATAAAAATATTTTAACACTTTGTAATTATCACCTACAATAATCCCCATTCCCCGTTCAATCCCATTATACTTATTGTTCTATAAATGCTTTTACGTATTCCCTAACAACTTTTCGCTTTTCAATAACCATTATAAATAATTATATATATACTAGCTGTTACTCGTGACTTCATCTGATTTTTTTAAAGAAAAGATAGTCTAAATGTAGTTAGATACTACCGATACTTAAGTTCTACGGACATGTTTTGCGAAAACCCGAAAACTACGCAGTGAAGAAGTGCCTTTCCATGGCTACAATGGAAAGAGGACGAGGCGGGCCACTAACTACCTGGCTGACTAACGTGCATAGGGACATGAAGGAGTTGGGCCTGTCAAATGACGATGCTTACCAGCGAGAGACGTTACAATAGGATAAAGAAGAAAAGATAGCCTATGTGATCATGATCATACCATGATTCATGACACCAACTATCTTAAAATTTTAAGATCCAATCAATTATATCAAAACATACACACAATGAGTGTCTGAAAGGTAAAACACACGCATTTATGTCAGTAGGAATACATTATATTTAAATCCCCAGTTCCCACATTATCTAGCAGGGCTTCATAATCAATTTAAAGATAACACGTAATCTTAACTATCAGACACATCAGCTTATCTACGGAGTTACGTGTGATAGGTAAATCACTATTATCATAGGAACATGGAACGTGATAATGTCACAAAATTGGACAGTAGTAATCAACAGACTTAAATACAGTATTGGACTTCTATCCATATCAGTAAAACATAATAAATAAATAAAAAATAATTTTTGTTTTTAATGGATGACAATGGGATTGTGCTTCCGCCTGCGCTAACGGTTTACGCTGGCGGGGCACTAGTGTAGGATGATAAGATGAGAATGAGAGCAGGTCAGTTAGCACATCTAGGCAAATGGCAATTTCGCCCATTGTGATGAAATTACTTGGTTTCCAAGGTTTCTGACATGGTACATTGCTAGCATGGGGCCCTAGTCCCCATTACTAAAAATCCCCTGCCCTTCTAAAGAGAGTATTTGTTTTACACACTAGGAGTTTAACAATATTTAAAAATCTTGTGCTCGCATACAAATTTTTGTACTGTGCAAGGAATCGAATCCGGGACCACCGGAATAAAGTGCGCTAAATCGCTAGACCACCAAGGCCGTCATAATCAAACTATTTATTTATATGAGACATCAATTGCTTCTTATAAGCGTAAACATTATTTAAAGTCCTTTGAATAATTCCATTAACTGTTTATCATGAATTCTGTAACAAACATGTTTTCAGTCATTATATCCGATTGTCTACAAGGAAAAGGTCGTACACGCTTATTCAGAATTCCGCGAATGTATGACTCACAACTCAAATGAACGTACCGTTAGGTTAGTTAGCTTGCTTGTTTAAATACGTAATACACATACCTCATGGAAATGGAAGGGGGTTGTAGGGGGTGAGTGATGTGGACTGTTGACCCCATTGAAAGAAAGAAAGAAAAATATTTTATTCAGTGCTAGCAATGCACCATGTTAGGATGGTACATTGCTAGATGGATTGATTTTTTGGTACTCTAGCGGTTAGGCGGTTGACGGATAAACTCCCGCCTGACGGATGACTGTATTGGTCTAAGGAGGAAGGTGTTGTTAGTAATAGGGTAGCTATGTACCCATATCAGGTAGACCCTGTGCCATCAACATGGACACCATCGATTTCTTTACTGGAAAATTTACCAGAATGAATATCATCCTCCTTAGTACCCCGCCACCTAAATTGTTAACGTAGGTTTAGCTTTAGCTAATGTTTTTAAATCGATGATATTTTTGACGAAATGTCATGTCCACAAACGGATTATTGTTAATCCAATTTATGTCAAAATATACATAAAGTATTTCTGGACAATATTATCAATAATTACTAACTTAAATCTTAAATCATCAACAATTTATAGTCTCTATATCTGACATAGAGTCTCTATCTCATTTACAGTCTCTATATATATATGAAAGAGTCTAGAAGACTCTTAATATTATTTATATCCATGCATCCATCCATCCATCCACCCATTACTATTATTTATACCCATGAAAGAGTCTGGAAGACCTTTTCATATAAATAATAACTTCAGACTGTAGACTTGACTAAGATATTTCTATAATTTTGCTGACGTCAAGTCCAGTCTTGTAAGTTTATCAGTTCAATGAACTCAATGATTATTATCAACAAAATAAAATGGTGTAGTCAATTAGAGTTTGAGAAAAAAAATTCCGACTACTCTAATGTTATTGAGTATATAAACAAAAACTAACTAACTTCTAATGCCGTGGATTGCAGCTGGCTTTTACAGCTTTACCGTACGATAGGGGAGGAGTGCAGATGGCACTCCAAACCCGCAGGACTGATGGAGTAGTTAAAGGCCAATTGACCGCTGCCTGACGTATACGACTTTAGTCTGAGGGTACCGCTAGGGGGTTCAAATTCAGCTCAGGTCGTCGTAATTTTAATCAACGTTTGAATTGGACGGGGGATCGATCAAAGGGGATATTTAGAAGGTACTTTCTGTAGATACCTAGTATATTTTATATTTTATGGTGAGTTTTATATTGAATAATTACTTCACTTGAAAAATGAGACATAGAAACTTTTATCCTCTATTTTTCCAATTCCTAGATTATATTTTAACATAAAAATTTGCCATCCTGACATTATATGAAGTACCTGTTTCTAACATTACATAGATCATTATATTTATTATTTATTTATATAACTTAAATGCACATAATTTCAAAGTACATATGGTGGACTTAACACCTTGCGGGATTATCCACCAGTCAAACATGGGTGATGCAAATATAAATTAATGATATAATACATATACAATTATATGTGAATAAATAAAGTTATATAATAAATATTTATGTCTAATTTATGTATTATCGTAATTTTGTTTTAATTATTTTTATTTTAAGTAGTGCCCTCTCTCCCTTTTTTTTCTTCGTTTTGGCAACTTTTTTTTCCACTGAAAACCAGCGGTATGTTCACATAGAACATACAATAAAGCTGAGTGGAGCCGTTTCAATGTCTATATGTATGTAAAACATGTTTATTTTTAATTATCTGTATACATGTTAAATTAAGTTTAATCCTTACTTCCTTACTAATATTATGAATGCGACAGTAACTCTGTCTATCTGTCTCGCATTCGCGCTAAAACTACTGAACCAATTTAAATAAAATTTTGTACACTCATACTTTTTCATACCTGAGAAAGGACATGATTACTTTTTAATGTGAAAAAAGGGTTCCAAGGGCTTGGAGATAAATGATAGTATGGTAGTATCGTCTTTTTAAAGCTAGAAGCTTGAAACTTACTTTTTAGACTGTTGATTAAATATATATAAATATGGCATTCAAAGTTTGTATGGAAAATCGTTATTCGTCGTTTTTTCCACGCGGCCGAAGCCGCGGGCACAGCTAGTTATATATACAGTTTATCAACTTCTTTTGAAAGGCAAACAAACTGATGAGACACCTAGTAAAATCACTCAATCATTCATCACATGACTCCCGCACCTACTTGTCTTGCTATTCCAAAGGACTAAGAGTTTATGACCATATAACCTGTGATTGTACTGCCTCTATATATATGAAACATGTACCACACTGAACCTATTCATATAGTTAAAAAAAAATTACCTATTTTTAAAATTCATTGTAACAAACACAATGAATACTGTTTCCTTACAAGTGGGTACTCTTTTGTGATATATTTCATTGTATTGAACAAAAATATATTTCTTTTGTAGTGATGTTGATACAGGTACTTCATAGAGACAATTCAAACTGAATCAGGAATATTCATTTAAAACTGATATTTCAGTGAAAGTGTATAGATATCAAAATTGAATGAAGATATTGAAAATTAAGACATTTATGTTACATCCTTAATATAATACATAATGCAAAATGACAAGTTTCCATGAATGAATATCTGTCTGGGCATTTTCTATATTACTTGTTTATTACTTTTTTTCTACAATTGTCCAAAAATTAGCAGAACATGTTATAATATTTTTTGTAGGTTTTTTGTAGGCTGCAGTACTACTGGTCTAAACCACGTGACAATAGTCCAAAACATTCAATAAAAAAAAATTTACATGTTGCTTAGTTTGGCACTATAAATTTATCAGGCATATTATTATTATTATCATTAATGAAATAAAAAATGGCATGATTACATGAATACTAAATTACAGACTCTACTAGGTAATAAAACGAGAATGTTCAAAACTCACTATTAATATTATAATTTGTATGTTTTTTAATATTAATAATGTCTTTCATATTGCTCTCCTATAACTCTTTCATATTGTTACATTGCTTTTAAAGTTCTTATTAAAAAGGCGCAATAAGTTTGGCGCCAAAATGTTGACTTAAAATAAAACTTAAGAGCAAATATATTTTTTAATATTTATTATTTAAATGCATTATATTATTGTGTAACTGCATAAAATTGTTTATGGCAGGGATTTAAATATTCATAATATAGCCATTGTATTTTTATAGAGATTTATACATTTCATTATTTCAAATGAATGTTTAATTTATTTTGAATTAAGAATAAAGTTTTTAAACTGAGAATTAAATTCAGACATCCTAAATACAAGGCAATTTCCATGCTACAGTGCAGTACCAACTTCACTTACAAAGTGAAAGGCCCAAGTGTCACATTGTAAGTTTACAATGTACTTTCACCATTACTCATGTATATGGCTTTGTAAACATTACATTGGGGGAGGGGGGAGGGAATTGTTAATAATGTGGACTGATGACCCCATTGCTAGAAATGTACCATATCTGGTTGACCTCTACTCGGTTCCCCCTGGAAACCATCATAAATTTCTGGTAAATTTACTATAATGGCCTGATCTGACCTAATACCCATCCCGTCATCCTCCACTGGTGCCCCGCTAGCGTAAACAGTTAGTGCAACTCAACCATACCATCATCATCCATTAAAAAAAAATGCTATTGGTTATAACATAATATAACATTATTATTAAGTACAGTAAGATGATAGAATGAGAAGGCATATAGATAGAAGGGTAGCTAGGAATAGAGAGAGTTGGAAAAAGGTCTAAGCCTTTGTTTTGCTTTAAAAATTAGTGGCATATAGACCGATTGTTGATGCATAACTAGTTCATGGAATGGTGCCCTCATGTGCGATAACAGTTTATGGTACTGGGACACCAGTGGAGAATAGGATGTGCATGAGGTCAGATCAGCTAAGTTGGTTAGAAACAATTTAAGTACAGCTTTCAGTAATGAATTGAGATAACTTTCACATAAAATTGTGTTTTATAATAATCAGTTACAAACTTAAAAATTACAAGTGTATGAAGTTGAGGGCTCATCTAGATTATATTTTTTACTACAAATACCAAACTATAGTCCTAATATTATGTACCAGATATATAATGAAAGACATGAGCTTAAGTAGTTTTGTGTAGATGAATTTCCTTCATATCAATCGACTTAGTGAAGATGGGAGAAAAAATAAATACTTATAAATATTGTTTTAATTTCATTAATGTATATATTATCATTAGTATTTAGCTAATGCACAGAGCATAAAATATTTCTTCTGTTTAATATTATTATTGTAATAGATATGTATACATTATCATTTATTAATTTAAATATCACTATTTTTATGTTTTCATTTATGATAAATGATCAAGGTTGTGATTAATATTGTATTATTTGCTTTTCAGTACATTTCAGTATGTAATAAACATATTTGATAAATTGTTGATAGTGTTAGAGTAAAGAGATTTCATATATTATTAGTATTAATTTTAATTGGTTTGTCTATTGACTTGTTATGCTTTTTTTTTTGTTACATATAGTCAATAGAGAAACCAATTAAAATATAAGATTTTCACCAATTATGGAAAATAATCATTTTATGTCTAACAAAGTTTAGAGAGAAATTTTGAGATTATGCTCTGTTGAATATATATTAAAGTAGCCATGATTTAAGTGGGGTTATCATACAACAATATAATTATTGAAATTATCAAATTATGTTGGTTGTTGTGAAGATTAGGTAATAAATGAGATGGGAATGTAAACAATGTTTAAATTGATACAGTTTCTTGATAAGCAATTCGTCTGAAAATTGTCATGTTTATTGTCGAGTACCAGGAAAACATGATAACACAGGAGTTATCTCGCTGGACAAATGCGGTGCCGGCTATTCGAAACGCAATAAAATGTGGTAATTTTAGATCAGACAGGTCGATCACCAGCCGTTAATCGAGCCCTACGTCACGCGCAAGCGTCCTCAAGTCGACTCGCGCCTACAAGATCACTGACCTACAAAACCACGCCATCACGCCGTTCATAACCTAAATGGCTCTCATGATTTCATCAAAAACAGCATAAAATATAGAAAATAGTAGCCACTTACTTGATTTTTTATGAGATATTACTCAACTGCGAGTGGGGAATCCCAAATGCCCAATCGAAAGTGCATTTGTGTGACGCCGTTACGGAATCGATGTTTAGTCACATTTTACTCAGTTGAACACTATCACAACACAATACTATGCATTTTATATACTTATGCACTAGTTATAATAGACTTTTCATAAATAAAAACACAGTTTTGTAAAGCGAAATGCGCGTTTTGTACACATGACTCGACAAAAACATTGCACTAGAAATCACCACATTTGAAAAAGGATACACCTGAAGCCTCTGGCCCATATCCTGGATTAGGTTCGCGGCCTGCTGCCGATAAGCTAATTCTTTATCTGCATCTAAGCCACATTTTTTGCTTGGAGAATTCAACTGCTCTTTTGTAAAATACCATTTTTCTTGTCCTCCAGCCATTGAACGGATGTTGCAATGACTGCGCGCGGGGAAGCACGACGGAGAGCAGCGCTCCGTCTACGTGCGTGAGTGGGAAAGGGACAGCGCTATGACAGCGGCGACCGGATAAAGACCACGTTAACATTTGAGAGATTGAAAACTAAAATTTTAGCATTTCTATGACAAATTATCACAATTTTGCACTAATTGAAAACAAAAAAATATTTAATTATTTCTGTGTTGGTATATTAAAATAAATTTAACAGAAAAATATTTATCACTACTTGAAATTATAATAGGTATTTTCAAACGGACGCCATTGTAAAACTTGATGGTGAACGTAGTGAGGTCTCCGGTGACAGAATGATGATCTGCAACAAACACAGGTATGTTTCACTTTATCACTATGTTTAATATTATAGTATAGATTAACCTCTTTCATTTGTGCATATTTTTGTTATGATTCATTCACTTTTTGAGGTAATTATACGATTCTAAAATTACGAACCTAAAAAGTCTGTGACACTGTGCAAATGGCCGACCCACCACTGTTTACAATACACCTCATTATTAATTTCGTAGAAAACTATTATTTAATGATTTGGGTGTCTATTGACAAGCCTATAATTACTGAACGATTTTTACAAATTGCTTTGTTTTGTTAGATTTTTTAGTGTCTTTCATTTAAGTTATCTAAATTATTAAGAAATGTTTTGACTATTGTCTCCACGAAGGTGAAATTTTGGCGCGACTACGTGGTTTTCCACTATGGAAAAACGTAGAAAATCATTCTTAGCTTACTTTAGTTGCGTAATTCTCTGAAATAGACGTTTAACATATTAGCCAGTATATCACTTTTTTTCAATAAAAGATGTTTCAAATTAAAAATGAAAATAATAAATTCTTACAAGCACATAATATTAGAATATCAGAACGTAAGTTAATATCATTAACTTAAAACTTTTAGTGTATTACGTGTTGTGAAATTAATATAATTTTCTATCTACGTATAATTATTACTTACATTTATTAAATAATAATATATTTTCCTCACTGTATTATGTCCCTACATATGTGGAACAGATGACTAGGTAGGTACTATATTCGTTTACGTAGCGTCACCAACGAAAACATATTGTATAAGTACGTGCCTATATTATACCTGATTTACACGTGCTATGAATAATGTAAACAACTTGAAATTGTTACAACAAGTATAGAATAGAATAATTTCCATTGCATTGGATATGTATTCAACAATAACTACAACAAACCTATCGACGACCTATATCGAAACATTCGAAACTCAAGAGTCAGAATGTGATACAAAAAAGCTGTGTTGTTTTATATATGTGACTGACTCTCCGGTTATGGAAACACCTATAAAAAACAAATTTAATCCGAGGGACGTCGTTATGCTCGCCCCTCGTTACTTAGGGTTAAAAAACTAAATATGGGTCTGTTCATGTCTGATGACCTTGTCTGTGATTTACGGCCTTGGTGGTCCAGCGATTTAGCACACCGGCATCCGATAGTCGCGGGTTCTATTTTGCGCACGGATCGGTACATACATATGTATTCATTATGTTTGTATTGGTCTGTATTTTTTATTTATATTTTTACACAAAAAAAAAATTAAAAGTTGTTTAGTAGGCATAACACATGTTCTGCTTAGCTTGAGAGTCAATGGCGCTGTGTGAGTTGTTCGGAAATATTATTATTATTTTTATCCAAAAATTCTCATCTCCCCTCTTAAGGAGAGGAGATGGCAACATACCCCCGGCAGAAGCACAGTCGGCCGGGGTTCAGGGCCCCAGGGACAGAAACCGGCGTACAATGCGGGCAGAATCTAACAGCACCGCTTTCTGCATCTTTCCCGGGAGTGAACCGCCCCGGAATCCCAACCGTCTGAGATGTTGTTCCAGACTGGTTGGGATAAGACCGTTCACCGACATAACGATTGGAATGATTTCGGTGGACATCACCCCCCACATTTCGGTCACCTCGTGAGCCAGGTCGAGGTACTTTCTCTTTTTCTCAGTTTCGGCTTTCACGAGGTTCTCGTCATGCGGTATGGTGATGTCCACCAAAAACACCCTCGAAAGTGCCCGATCCATCACCACGATATCAGGTTTGTTCGCAAGAACGGTCCTGTCCGTGATGATGGATCGGTCCCAGTAGAGCTTGACGCTGCCGCTTTCGAGGACCGGCTGGGGCTCGTACTTATAGTACGGCAACCTCTCATTCGCGAGGCCGTACTTCAGAGCTAGTTCTTGATGGAGTATTTTGGCTACCTGGTTGTGTCTGTGCAAGTACTCAGTGTTGGCAAGAGCTGAACAACCCGAAAGCACATGTCTGAGTGACTCTCCGGGATGGCGACATGCCCGACAGATGTCCTCAGTGCCATCCTTCAGAATGTGCTTTCGGTAATTGTTCGTCTTAACCACCTGATCCTGTATTGCACAGACAAAACCCTCGGTCTCTCCGAAGAGATCACCGAACTGTAGCCAGTGCACGGAGGTCTTCGTGTTGACGTACGGCCCGTGAAGGGCTTTGAAGAACCTTCCGTGCAACTCCTTCTCTTTCCACACGGCCTCCCGCTGAGAGGTACCCAGGACTTCGGGTTTTCGCCAGTCCTCTTTAGCCAGAGAAAGAGGGGTGAATCCTTTGTCACATTCTATGACCTCTCTATGCAAACCCTCGTCTCTTTTCTCCAGAAAATATGTCCTGAGGCTGTCAATCTCGCGGTTGTGCATGGTCTTAACGCTTAACAAGCCTCGACCACCAGCCTTCCGCGGGATGTACAGCCTCATGACTGACGATTTCGGGTGATGCATTCTATGGAGGGTCATAGTTGTGCGGACTTTCCGATCCAGGGCTTCGAGTTCGGTTTGAGACCATCTGAGCACGCCAAAAGTGTAAAGGAGTACGGGTATGACCCAGCCGTTATATGCTCGGATCTTATTGGCACCCGACAAGGAACTTTTCAGTACTCTTGTAAGGCGCGCAAAAAATTCCTCACGGATTGACTGTTTCATATCCGTCTCCCTCACACCGATGTTTTGTGACATGCCCAGATACCGGTATGTTTCAGCGTCGGAGAGGGTTTTGATGTTGGAGGGATCTGTAACGATCCCTTCAGTTTGATTGACCCGTCCCCTCTGCACATGGAGAACCGCGCACTTGTCTATTCCGAGTGCCATCCTAACAGAGCTGCTATAATCGTTTACAATATTTAACAGCTCTCTCAGGCGTTCGACACTCGGAGCTAGTAGTTTCAAGTCATCCATGTACAGAAGGTGAGACACTCGTGTACCTCCTCTCCGATACTGAAATCCAGTCCCCGAATTCTCCAGTAAAGTACTGAGAGGATTCAGGGACAGGCAAAACCAAAGTGGACTCAAACAATCGCCCTGGAATATTCCCCTCTTAATCTCAATCCGGTCAGCGGTATCCGTTAATCGCTCGCCCTGGATAGACAGGATCGTCGTCCATTGTCCCATGCATGTCTCCAGGAACACCCGAACCGTACCGTCGATCTTGTACAGCTCGAGTATCCTCCGAAGCCATGAGTGGGGCACGGAATCGAACGCCTTTTTATAGTCTATCCAAGCAGCGGAGAAATTCCGACGGTTCCGCTTAACCACTTGGCCAGCGACAGCATCAATGAGGAGAAGCTCCTTCGATCCGCGGCTACCGCCCCTGCATCCGTTCTGAGCGCTAGATAGGATCTTGTTTTCGTACACATGACGAGAGATCTTAGCGCTCAGAACAGATGTTAACGTCTTATATATTGTCGTAAGACAAGTTATGGGGCGATATTTAGATGGATCCGCGGTATCGTCCGTCTTAGGAGCTAAATGAGTGATCCCGGTTGTAAGGAAGTTCGGGAGCGCCCTGTTTTCGAGGGCACTCTGGAATTGCACGGCTAAGGTTGCATGGCTGGCCGAGAACGCCTTTAACCAGTAGTGTTGCAATCCGTCGATTATTATTATTATTATTATCAGCTACAATGAACTGTTATTTTATTTGTTAAAATTAAAGAACGCTAAAATTACTCACTTGTAGTAGGAGCAATTCGTTGGTATACAATGTTTTATAAATTCTATTTATATTTCAACTAAACTTGTCCAGTGTTATTATTATTATTGTACAATTTCAGTTAAGCCATCATCTCTACCAAATATGTCGCAGCAACCAAGGAAAATGATCCACCTTCCAAAGGTGAGGATGTTGAGCCGTGGAGGCCGGCCATCCTCAGGTATAAGGATCACACAGGTCAAATCCATCAAACCGCCAGACCCTGAGATGGTGAAGAAGACGGAGGAGGAAATACTAAGAGCACAGGTAAATAACAAAAACAATATGAAAGAATTCTATAATGAGTGATCAGGGAATGATGCTCCCGATATTCCATTAGTCCACGCAATGGTGAAATTCATCTAATATATAAAATTCACAGATTTCGTGTTTATACTCCTCTGAAATGGCTTGACACATTTTGAGGAAATTTTACATGTGTATTCAGTAGGTCTGAGTATAGGTTTATAACTAACTAGTTGTTCCCGCGACTTCGTCCACATGGTAAAACAAAGTGAAATTACTGTATTTTTCTAATATAAAATAATTTTTCTAAAATAAAAGTAGCCTAAGTTACACCTTATTACATCAGCTACGTGCCAAAAAAAGTCCAGTCAAAATCGGTAAAGCCATTTTAGAGATTAGCCGGAACAAACAGACAGACAGACAAAAATTGTAAAAAATGTTATTTTGGTGTATATACTGCATTTATATTCATATTTATGTAGTGAAAAACGATTATTTCAATATTACAAACAGACACTCCAATTTTACTTACATATATGTATAGATTTTTATAGTGATAAGGGTGGCTCACCCCAAACAATTTTTTTCATTTTTTCGACAAAATCTTTTATTTTTATTATTTACGCCGGCTAAAAAAAAACTATATACATAATTGTATATTTCCACAGCTTCAGCAAGAAATCGTCTCTCGCTCCCGGATGTGCGCATACAAAGGTTACGAGTGCACCCTACCAGTGTTAACAGGGCGACAGTACTGCTACGAGCATATATTGAAGGACCCAACCGCACCGTACAGACAATGTACGCATACCTCGAACAACGGCGACAGGTGTCAACTGCCAGCACCACTTGAACAGCGCGATCATAGGGATCAGAGGTATTTTTTTTATTGAGGTATTTGAGTTATTGTCAGGTGCACTATCATAGTGACAAACAAGCATACGGCCCATCTGGTGCTAAATGGTTACCGTAGGCTATGGACGCGTAGGACTGGGTATCACGTGCGCGTTGCCTACCTTTAGAAACCTTAATATACCCTTCTTGAAAAACCCCATGCTGTAATCTCGTGAGAAAATCTCGGAAGGTAATTCATTCCACAATCTAAGTGTACGCGGGAGGAAGCTCCTCTATAACCGCACTATCCGACACCACTCAGGTTCCAGTATGTGGCGAATTCCCTGTTGATGGCGGTGTGATGATGAAAAGAAGGCGTGGGCATCATGTCGGACAATTACTAATCAAATCAAAATATTTTTAAACATGTAGGTCTATTACAGACTCTTATGATATGTCAAATCTACCGTCATTTGGACTGCTTTCGAGCTGCAAAGAACTGAGAAGAAACGCACATTTTTTCAAGTGTGCTTGTACATGTTTACAATAATACAGATTGATTTTTAAATTCTAATTTGGGAGAATAGATTGACCACAAGCATATTCTCTATTGCAATTTTGCCTTAAGGATATAGTCTAATCAGTGTCCTTGCTTTAGATCTTTAGCACTGCGACCTACATAGATCTATTGTGCTCATCCTTATTCAAAGTTTGCTGCCTAGACTTGTAACAATATTTTTAAATTGTAATTTTATAAGGTAATTCACAATTTTGTACAGGGCATTAACTTTTACTTACACATTATTTGTTTTAAAGCATATTAACCAACAAATAGAACCACACCATAACAATGATTTGTTGTAATTGTTTGCAGTTTGTGCTACGAGCACGCTCGCCTGGCGCTGCAGGCTCGGCTGCGGAGCGCCGCGCCTCCGCCGCCGGTGGCCACCGCCGAGACGCTGTTGCATCAGCTGCAGCACTACGTGCGGTACGTACACCACCGCATAGTGACTCCAGGGGACTACCATATGATACAGCACATGACCACTGGGACCAGGACACCACCACATGACACCAGAACACCACCATCTGACACCAGAACACCACCATCTGACACCAGAACACCACCATCTGACACCAGAACACCACCATCTGACACCAGATAAGAGCATATGACACAGGACACCACCACTGACAGCAGGACACTACTACATCACACCACGACACGACCACATGTCACTAGGATACCATCACACGACACAGGACACCACCATATGACTATAGCCTATGTTTTTTTTATACTACGATGGTGGCAATCAAACATACGGCCCATCTGATAGTAAAAGGTTACCGTAGCCTATGAACGCCTGAAACACCAGGGGTATCACTTGCGCGTTGCCGACCCTTAAGAAACCTTAATATACCCTTCTTGAAAAACCCCATGCTGTAATCTCGTGGAAAAACCTCGGCAGGAAGTTCATTCCACAATCTAAGTGTACGCGGGAGGAAACTCCTCTGAAACCGCACTGTTCGAGACCACTTAGGTTCCAGCGTGTGGGGATGTGTTATTCTGATCAAAAGCTGTTCAGTAGTTTTTGCGTGAAAGAGTAACAAACATCCATCCATACTCATAAACTTTCGCATTTATAATATTACTAAGGTTTATTTATTAAATATTATGTATTATATATAATTATGGATGTATTTTTGTATATTTAATCAGATACTTTTTTTTAATGCACTGGCCCGCATGAATCTCTGTTTGCCCTGTGTTTTAGGAGAAAATGCCTTAGGTGTTAAAACTATCATGTACACTTTTATTTTTGTATTAAAGTTTTAATAAATAAATAAAATAAATTATGATTAATGATCCTCACAGGCCGGAAAGGACAAGAACGACGTCATGCGCGTCAGCTGTGTCGGTGGTGAGCGACCCTGCCGACTCGGAACCACTCGCGTCCACGCCTGTCGACCCCTTCAGTGAGTATCATCACCAGACCATTATCACATACATCACTACATCATCACCTGTGCCTAGTCTTTAGACAAGCGTTGCTCAAGGTTGACAAGCCTCTCTAAAAATCTTATTAGATCTATTAGTGGTGACTAGTGTAGTGACAAAAACCCCAAATTAACTTGGTGTCACGTGCGCGTTACCGACCCTAAAGAAACCTTAATATACCCTTCTTGAAAAACCCCATCCTATAGTTATTATTAATATATAGATAATTGCGATTTTCTCAAAACTTATAATTATTACAGAACAAATCGACGCGACAGCAGTGAACGCGTCATACTCGACGACGATTATGGAGTACGCGAGTTGTACAGACAGCGATTGCGACAGTGTGACCCTGGGGCCGGACGGAGACTGCCGCGGGGGCCACGACGAGGACCTGTCTGATGCTGAGGATGCTCCGTGCGAGGACCAGCCGCTATGGTGAGAGAATAGAATAGAATAGAAAATCATTTATTGAAATATACTTATATTGCAGGAAACTTGTGTGTTGCTCTTTTAAATAATTTTGTTGTTACTTTACATTTTTGAGTTGAAGTGTGTGAATACAAACTACCAACTAGCACTAGTTCAATTAAATAATAGAGAAAATATTAAATATGCAACCAACTTATTGAGTAAGTCAGTCGTAGCGGTTAGGGCAGACCGGTCCCCACAAGCAGCACTCGTTCACGAGTATGACGAGAGGAAAAACAGAATTAACATAATTACTTCATCTTTCTTACTACTCGGTCGGATGGTCTAGCTGTTTAGCACACCGCTTTGCTTCCTAGCGTCGATTCCTCGCACGGTGCAAATATTTGTATTCATGAATACAATTGTTTGTATTAGTCTGGGTGTTTTCTATGTATATTATGTATATATTTACAAAAAAAATATCTAAGTATTTGTATCAGTTGTCTAGTACCCATAAGACAGGCTCTGCATACCAATTACCTAGATGGCGCTGTGTTGCTGTTATTTGTCCATGAGTTTTTATTTCTTGACGTAATTCAAGTATAGGTATTAACAAAATATCATTTCGTTAATACCTATACTTGAATTACGTCACATCAATATCAGTATTTTTTAAACCTGGTCATATAATAGAAATTACAGACGCAAAAGTTTCTGAGTATGAATGGATGATTGTTACTCTTTCATCCATAACAAAAACAATGACCAGGTTTAAAAAATACTGATATTGATGTGACGTAATTCAAGTATAGGTATTAACGAAATGATATTTTGTTTAAGGCGGGCTGGTGTATATACTGCGGAAGAGGCTGTATCGGAGACAAAGAATGCTCTCAAGACTCTTCAAGCGGCGTATATCCGCCAGATGGGACGCCTGCGTGTCTTACTGCAGACCGCGAGGCTGCAGTATATCAGGTCGCTGAAAGCTGAAAAGGAACAGTACTGTAAGTACCCTGTTTTTTATTAGGAGTTAAAAATGTTTAAAATTGTCTGCACTAATATACTAATGGTGCTGGGGATTTTGGTGTCTAACTTATATAAATAAATAATGTAAATAAACTGTTTTAATATAAAACTTTGATGTTCAGTAGTAGCGAAAATGTCCTATATGAATAAATTACTTTTTATTTTGTCGGGGTAAATTTGTAACATATTTTTGAACTTACACATTTACAAATATTAATAAAAAAAAAATACGCAATAACTACCATGTATTTCACACATTCATATATACTCTTTTGTTTGTTGTTGAAGTCTAGTCTAGCCGCTATAAAATTAATAAGAAAAAAATACAAATTAACTCTTTGGGAGGTGTTCTATAAAATTTCTTTAGCCTATATTTTCACCAATATTTAACAAATTATTCTGTTAATATTTTATCGTTTAATATTAGTCAGATACACGTTTTTAGTATTAAAGTATTTATAATAATATTTGGACAATTCACACAGTGTTATCTAGTCCTATGGTAAGCAAAGATTGTGTTATGGGTACTAAACAACTGATATAAATACTTAGATTTTTTTTTGTAAATATATAAATAATATACATAGAAAACACCCAGACCGATACAAATAATCGTACTCATAAATACAAATATTTTTGTACCGTGCGAGGAATCGAACCCGCGAGCATCAGAAGCGCTGTGCTAAACCGCTAGACTACCGAGGCCACTTATTCTGTCTATGTTGATGTGTTTAACCATAAATTATGTATGTATTATTTCAGGCAGTATTAACGCTCAAGCCCGGAGCGGTCCATTGTCTATACGCGAGAGAAGGCAGCTTCGCAAACTGAAGGCGTACGCGGGCTACCACAGGAAACATGGTGTGGAAGCGTTACTTGCGAAAAAGTTACATCAAAAACGGGCTAAGGTATAAACACATTTTTTTTTCCTTTTTTATCTGCAGTCAGTCCTGGAACTATAAGCAGATCTTTTGAGTTTGGGAATTGAAGATGGTGTGCCCATTCCAGCAGCTGCTCCTTAAGAATACTGCGATAATTATACAATAAATAATTACAAATAAACAATCTGCAAAGCATAACATAATATCGCTTCTTTTTAGTCGCTTAGGGTAGTGTTTTTCTAATAGTTGAGTTGCCATAGAATACAAACAATCATACTCATGAATACAAATGTACCGTACGGCGAATCGAACCCGCGACCGTATAAAGACTGTGTGCTAAATAGCCACATCACTGAGTCCATCCATGACATCAATGGATTAGATTGTATTGATTGTATAATTAGTTATATATATTTTTTGGTAAACACATATGTATGTGTATTACATACAAACCCAGGTCAATACAAACAATCATACTCTTGAATACAAATGTTTGTACCGTGCGAGGAACGGAACCCACTGTATAAAGATGGTGTGTTAAACCGCTAAACTACCGCGGCCTTCAATGACATGAGTACATAAATACTAAATTTATTTAATTTCAGACTGATTGTATGGAGACTCGCGGTGCGACGGGTGGCCGCGGCTGTGTGTTCGCAGAGGGCGGGGTTCGATGCAGCGGCCGTGCCTTGCCCGCCGCTAAGCATTGCTCGCAACACGTGCTAAGAGATAATAAGCAGGTTAGTGACACATGTCGTTTTATTTATTTATTTATTTTAGACTACTAGGCTCATATTATAAATACCATACATATGAATTAATATTATAAAACTAATATATTGATATATTAAAATTGATTCTGTGGTCACGGCACTGACGACGGCAATCTACCACGTTAGCGCCGATACACCACCCCATCTAACATCTTGAAACTCACGTTGTAACTCGACTCCAGCTGCGTCACCCTCATTGTCAGGTCACTCCTGGTCTGTATATAGTCGACAATGTCTTGCTCCTTCTTCTGTTTGGAATGGATGGTAGATCACTACCATATTGCTTGCATCCGTTGCATCCGCCTTTTTTTTACTTGGAAATCTGTCATGGAGATCCGTCTGCTCCGGAGGTAACAAACGGGTACTGCAGAGATGATTGTGGAACAGGCATGAATGGAAAAGAAAAACATATTTATTAATGGCGTCCGGTTTTCTAGTGGTTTACACTCACCGCCTTACTTCCGATGGTCGCGGGTTCGATCCCTCGCACGGCACATACATTTGTATTCAGGATCATGATTGTTTGTGTCAGTCTGCGTGTTTTCTATGTATAATATATATGTACTTACAAAAAGAAATATCTATGTATTTGTATCAGTTATCTAGTACCTATAATACAAGCTTTAGCTTAACTTGGGTCTAGACGGCGCTGTGTGAAATGTCCGGAGATTATTATTATATTACGCCGACCTCAAATAAATGGGATAAGAAAGAATCAAATGATATTATAATGGAAATCTGCAGGTCCTGTTCGTGCGGTGTGGAGTGGGCATCGCCGGCGTGGGAGCCTGCAACGAGCCGGTGGCGAAGTTACCGTTACCAGCCGCCACCTGCCGTTATCACGCGACCCCGCCCGCATATACCGTCTTTGCGCTTAAGGTAACTCGGGGCTCCAAGTTCTTTATCACGTTAAAGACCGCATGCCCACCGGGGGGACACTCCGCAACAACATTACCGGCCCGCGTGCTCACGGGTGGGCCCACGCCATGTTTTACCTGTGGGCATGATTTAAATTTCAATTTATGTACAGTAGTTCACTCGCTGCTCTCACGAAGAGATACTGCATATAGCGGACTTAGTTAATTTGACACAGCCTCTCGTAATTAACAATAAATAATGCCGGCCCCTACGTGAGAAATAAGATTCAATGCGGTCTTCAACGTGTTAAATAATTCTAATATCAAACAAAATAACGGCCCCCCTGGAGATAATGGAATGGTGGTTTCACCTGCGCTAATGGTATACGCTAGCAGAGCACCAGTGGAGAATGATAAGATGAACATGAGGTCAGGTCAGTTAGCCCATTCATGGTTTCCAGGGGGAACTGTGTAGAGGTCAACCTGACATGGTATAGTATGCAAGTATGTAGTAAATAAATATAATTACAGAAAGACGAATCGGACAGTGACAGCGAGTCGCAGTCCAGCACCGACGGTTCCCACACAGAAGAGATGGACCGCTCTATAGAAGATCAAGTGCCAATCCCGGAGAGCATAACGCAAGAAGACTATGAATGACACGTGGACTACGACATGTCAATGTCGTATGAACTTGATTATTAACTGTAACATGAAGAAGGAAGAAGGGGTGCAAATCCCATTTGATAAAAAGGGGTCCGAAGCTTTTTTGACAAGAATGGATGCGGATCTTATTTGATAAAGAGGGGTCCAAAGCCTTTTTTTTAATAAGAATACATGCAGATCCTATTTGATAAAAAAAGGTCCGAAAACTTTTTGACAAGAATGGATGCGGATCTTATTTGAAAAAAGGGAACCGAAGTCTCTTTGACAATAATGGATGCGGATCTTATTTAATAAAAAGTGGGGCGAAGCCTGTTTGACAAGAACGGATGTGGATTCTATTTGATAAAAAGGGCTGTGGACATTATATGCCAAAAGGGATGTCATCATTTGTGACCCTATATCTTACTAATATTATAAATGTGAAAGTTTGTATGTACGAATGTTTGTTACTCTTTCACCTAAAAACTAGTGAACGGATTTTGATATATAGCATCAGAATAAGATGTAGGCTATAAATTCTTGCGAGTGAAACCGCGGGCATAGTCTATAATAATTTCACAATTGAAAGTGTAAACATAAATAATGCTGTATATTGCGATAATAGGTTACCATAAGGCTGATTGTATATTATTTTACCGAGGTATAAACTAAACGCCAAAATATAGGAAGTCAGTAATTATTAACTAGTAAGCTTTATAATGATAATTCATCGATGGCCTCGGTGGTCAAGCGGTTTACCACACCGTCTTACATCCGATGGTCGCGGGTTTGATTCCTCGCATGGTACAAACATTTGTATTTATGAGTATGATTGTGTGTACCAGTCTGGGTGTTTTCAATAATACTATGTATGTATATACAAAACAAATATAAAGTATTATGTATGAAGATATTGCTAATATAGATGTGAGCGGATTGAGCAGAGGTTTGGACCACTAAAGGCCAGCCATAATACTTTCTATCTGTTATACTTATAATGCCTATAAGTATAACAGATAGAAAGTGTTATATAATGAAAAGAATTCATAAACTGTTAAGAAATCTCATTATATGGAATAAAAATAAATTATATGTAAATTATTGTTAGTTTGTTTGTACGGATTATGTAAGCAAATTGACTTATAAAATAAATATGTAGAATGGCGGTCTTGTCGCAAGAGAGGGATTTCTTCCAGTCAACATTTGACTGAGAGGAGTTGTATTGTGTTATATTATTAGACTAATAACTATATCGCTTTTAATAGTATATTATTATATTCTCTATAATTTAATAATATATTATTATATTCTCTACAAAAGCACTTTGTAAATACTACTTATAAGGGTAGTCAGAGATATAATTACCTGATCAATGTTTTTTCTCATGGATAATAACGGAATTTTGCACCCGCGTGCACTAATGGGACATCAGTGGAGGATGATAGGATGAGCACGAGGTCAGGTCAGTTTGCCCATCGTGATTAAATAACCAGGAATTAAGCATGACGGTGTCCATGGGGAACCGCGTGATGTCGACCTAACATGGTACATTGCCAGCAATAAGATCATCAGTCTACATTACTGACAATTCCCTATCCTCCCACACTGTTCGATGTTATGGTGAACACAACACTTGTCTGGTTGTATGAATGAATTTGAGCACATTTCCCTGTGTATAATTAAATCTAAGGTCACTAGACGTAACCCTACTGCGACTAATAATGCCTTTATTTTATATTTACCATTAGATCTATATATACATATATATATTAACCCGCGCAAAGCCGGGTCTAATCGCTAGTATTAAATGTAAATATAACGAAATCAGTGATATTAGAATATAATTTAATTAGTATTAAAGATATTGTGCACAGATATGCATTTATACGGAATTGTAATTTACATGTCAATTTATGACCCTAAATTAGGTTCATGTTATTGATGTTTAATTTATAATTAAATAAATACATTTAATTTGGATTTTTCATTTTTTTTTGTGCAAGTATGGTGGTGATGCTACCCTCAAATACATACATATATATGGCGTTCCAGAGGACTAAGATGTCTTTATAGTACACATACGCTAAAGGTTTACGCTGGCGGGGCACCAGTTGAGCATGGATAACATCAACAGGAGGTAGGGTCAGTTAGCGCATCTTTATATATTCTCCAAGAATTTATCATGATGGTTTCCACGAGGTACCGCTTGGGTATCAACTTGATAAACCCTCTTCCTCTAGACTAAGATGTCATTCGTCTATATTCTGTAATTTCACTGCCATATCTCAACATCTGAAACTTAAAGCAAGTTGCTAGCCGGCTTAAATAAATGAGGCATAATTATCAATACAGATAAGTACAAAGTTTGCTCAGTAAAATTGATTGTTGGTGTTCCAACATCGTTGACATAGTCTCGGCGGCCGACGGCCGTACCAACGTTTGATTGGTTAATTTGCAAAGAGGAGAACCAATGCACCAGGCCGTCTGTACGAGTGGAATATACCTTCAGTATATTCTAAAAAGGTGACAAAAGTAGCAACCAATGCGGGCTGTCCGTACTAGTGAAATATATATTCTAAAAAGATAGAAAAAAAAACTATGGTCTGATGTAAAAATAAATTATATTTTTAAACAGAACATTAATAACACAGTGTAGATAAAATATGGAATGTTACATTAAAGAAATGAAAAGTCAAAACCATAGAGTTAAAACACTATCACACACACATTGATATATTTCTGATCTACTTAAATATAATTTAAAGAGGGCGTCACTTGTATCTTAATATCCGGATTTCATATAGGAGAATATTACTAAAGTTCTAAAGATTTACATTATCTGTTAATAAATTAATCCTATATTTTGATAACAAGTGTTATTGTTTTGGAAGTAAAACATAAAAAAGTGGCGCCATCTAATTGAAGATAGGATAATTCTACACAATAACTGAAATGTGTTGGTCAAATTCTACAATTTTACTTTCAAGTCATTAAAATAAATCTAATAAATCCGTCTAAATTTGGTTTTATTGCGTTAGGCCATAGACAAAATGTTTATTTTTTTTCGTTGCCATATTACAACACAATCTGTTTCTAAATTTAAAAATAGATTCTACTTTCGCCTAACTATACAGATTACAATTTAAAACCGAGTTTAGACATATTCATAAAAAAAATTGGATAAATAAAACATTTTTACAATACTATTAACACTTCAACATAATCGTCAAAAGAGAAATAAAAAATTTAGTACGCACTTAAACTTTAATTCATTAAAATCAGTCATTTTGATACCTTTGATTCATATCTTGGAAGTTACGTCTAAAATCATCTTGTTGCAGGTCTTAAGGAACAAGGGGAAAGAAAATTAGCTTTTAAAGTTTTTTAGTCCATAATTTATAAGGTATAAGCTTATCCAAATATATTTAATATTTGGATAAGCTTATACCTTATAAAACGCCTTGTCACAATAGCAATCTAATGAAAAAATGTTTAGGAATGATTCATACTGTTATTATGACAAAGTACTAATGTAACTGTACCATACCATCCTGCCTAATTCTAATGTGAAGTAAGAATATAAATGTAATGACCTTAAACATAAGGTTTAGTATTTTATTATCAATTAGATATCTACTTCAATATCATTGGGCAATTTTAAAATTAGTATTACGGCCAATTTACTATTTTAAATTATTTTTAGTCCGAAAACCTGACATACATATGGCAACACTGATACTGAATATTGATTATGAAATCTGAATTTATACAATTGAGAACTACTTATAATTTCAGTTGCTTCACAATCAGAGAAATGATAATTATGAGATAGCATTGTGATTGATGGTATTATCAACTAATTTATCGATAAGTAAAACTATATCTGTTAACTTAAACATTGTATTTTAATCATTACTTTCAATAGACAATTATTGATCGTTTTTAATTACTGTAGTGAACCTCATTATTGAATATTATAGTTATCCTCAAAAAAAGAAAACAATCTCACCCTTAGTAGACCATAATTTATGAATGGCATTTTTACTACTAAGTTTGTACTCAATGTGGACTTTATTATTATATTCTTAATATATTAAACCAACTTCCAAGATATAAGCTTATCGTCATCTATCCGTGCGTCCGTTGACAGCGTGCCGGTCATTTCTTCTTCTTCAATTGCTTAGCTTTCTTTTTATCTTCTTTCTTTCTCTCCTTCTCTTTTATAGATTTGTAGAGTTTGTAGCCGAAGAAGACTGGAATTTAAAATAGTACAATGTTAAGAAGTGCCATATATATTTCTAACACTATAAATTAGCCGCGACTCTGTCTGATATTTTTAGATAAAAGTTTGTCATGACCGTCGTCGTGACAAATATATCTTAACGTTAAATTTAATTGAAATCCGCTTAACTAAATAGTCTTGTAAAGGTAACAAACAGATAGAAAAGTTTCGTATTTATAAGTGTGGATACATGATCGTGGAATGAACTACCTGCCGAGGTTCTCTCGGGGTTTTTTAAGAAGGGTATATTAAGTCGGCAACGCGCACGTGACACCCTTGGTGTCCATAGGCTACGGTAACCGTTTACCATCACATAGACCATTGTCTGCCACAATCATAGTATGAAAAAAACATTATTGATGGAGGAGAATTCATTATTTTTACCGACAGTACAGTTTCTAGAAAGTCGTCTGCATCACCTCTCGCACCTCTGTCTCACCTATTACTGCCCAGTAGCTTACTTTGTAAGATGTGTTTCGGTCGAAGGGTGTGATATGGCAGTGAAATTTCAGGGGTCATGCTCAGGTCATACCCGTGGTACCATATAAAATTTTAAGTAACTCAGAATAAAAAAGAAACAAATTGATCGAAATAAATCGATTCAAAGATTATCTCGTCATATCAGTTTTCATGTTAAAAACTATCATAATCGGTCCATTCGTTCAGGAGATATCCAGATATACAGACACACCAAACTTAGATCGCCTCTCTTTTTGGTCGATTCAAAAAGAGAGGCGTTAAAAAAAGTTACACGAGTTAAAAAAAATATAGTCTAAATCGAGTTTTTAAGTATAAATAATACGGTGTTCTGGCTTCTTCATAAATGTTGATTTAAAATAAAAAGGAATCACAAGTAAATCGGCTCACGTAGAAAAAAATTCTGAGGTAGCAAATAGAACAAAAACCGGTTGTGTACTATTCGTCTTTATAATTTATCGGCTCTCAGATACACACCACTGTTCTCACTCTCTGTTGATAGTTTAATGCTCGCATGACGCCAGCAGTGTGCGATAGAGACGACGTAATACTTCTTTCTTTTTCCCACATATACCATAGATTGAATTTAGAACATACTACTTTTTTAAAGCGATTATAAATACTATAGAATTGTGCTTTTTTTATGTCCTATAAAATGTCTAATTCTGTTAAAAGTATTACTGTGCCTTAATATTTAAGTTTATTTGAATAAAAATAATTTTCATACTAAGAATTTACTGTTGTATGTAAGCAAAAAAATCTTCGTTATTTGGATATACTATAAGTATTATATTCATAAAATTTTAACAACTTTTCTAATATGTTCCTCTAGTGACAAAAGGTATAATTCGAGACCGACTTTCTTTTATGATACTTCAAATAAGCATAATTTTAGCTATCTAATGTTACAAGACGTGTAGACAATTTTAAAAACAACAGAGATAGTAGACGTGTTAAAGACTAGATAGCTATATGTTTCAATCAATATTAGATATTAGGACCCCCTTTCCCCAATAGGTATGAAGTAACTGAGATTGTTATTAACATCACTGTCAAGAATCCAGGAAAGTCATAATTTTTCTCGTTATAATTGTAGTAAATTTTTAAGTTTAATATTTTGATGACCTTAGTAACCTAGCGGTTTATCATACAGCTTTATTTCCGATGGTCGCGGGGTCTCCGTGATTCTTTGCATGGTACAAACATTTTTATTCCTGAGCTTATCTGACGGTATTGGTCTGTTTTTCTATATATATATACATATATAAAATACTTCATATATTTAAGTATTTCTATAAGTTGTATAGTACACATAGCACAAGCTGTTTAGTTTATGACTAGACGACGCTGTGTCAGTTATCGAGATGTATTAAATTATTTATTACTCCTTACATAATAATCTTTTATTTCTTTTTGGTATTAACAAAACATAATTACCAAGTAGGATGATCAGTACAAGACCTACAGCTCCCACCAATAGCAGCCTATTAATCACAGCTTCTTTAAGAGCATCTTCAAATCCTTGTGAATCAAAGAAGTCAGGATCTTGCAGTTTCGCTGCCAACCTTGTTGTTAAACCATCCTTGACCTGTCTCGTGAACGATTCCCTCTCCTCGTCTGACATGTCATCAAGCTTCTGAAGTATGCTCATCAGCTTATCCCTGGCTGCTTCGGACTCTTCATCATCAGGTGTGATATCCGCCATCTTCTGTAGTACAGTCGGCAAATCCATGCCTTCTATCATATCCGACAGCTTTTGGGTAATCGACTGCCCCAAATTCATTGACGGCGCTTCCTCTAACTCTTGGACGGCCATTTTCTTTTGGAAATGATTTTTTTTAAATTAATTGTTGCAATTCTAAATTAGGCGTATGCACACGGCATAGAATGCGTAAAACTGAGATGCGCTAGATAATTATAAATAGACTGCAGAGATCTACTTTGTATATTAAGCCGGTATTACACTGCATGTTTTGTTTCATTATTTTTTAAACAAAAGATAAGAACAACTATAATTTAATAGATAAATATATTATTTATGACTATGAAATGGTGTACCTGTCTGCGTTAATGAAAATGATGCTTGCGGGGCACCAGAAGATGATCATGATGAGGACAAACTTAAGGTTATTTCAGGTAGCCCATCGTGAAAAATTCTGCAAGAATTAGACACGACGGTTTTCAGGGAAGAAGAGGGATGAAGGAGGATATGTGGAGGTCGACATAATCTCAACAGGATCACTAGTACCCGTTACTTTTTTGGGCCGAAACAACATCTAATTCTCCCAAAACCTAGGCGTCTGGTATCCCGCAACCAATAGCGAGAATGGGGTGCCTTTGAAACACATAATTACACAAACTATCTACATAGTTATAAAACATATTATAATAAATTAATTAATATAATTTATATATATCTACATATATATAAATTATATATAAGCAATTTATATATATAAAAACGCATTACTAATATCCCTTTTCGCCACGTATATAGCAAGTGTAATAACGGTCTAATATATTGTTTTTCTTTATACGAATAACTTATAACAATGATTAATCTAAATACACAATGTTGTTCAACTATTCTGATGCAGCCGCTGACTTTACAGCTTTATATTATTTCTTCTATGACGAGAGTTCATTATCAAAGTCTGAATCGTCTATTATTTTTCAAAACCAACTAATTTTCCTGATTGGAATCAAATTTCCTCAAGTAAATTTTAGGAATATCATTAGATTATGCATTGTCGTAATGTTTTATTAGTCTATGTATAATTACTGCGCGATATATAAAATATAACCAACATAAAAAAGGGAAGGTATCTATTTGCACTATAAGTACAATAGATTAATATTCTAAATTTCTATTTGCACAATGAGTATGTAAATTTTATTAAAGGTTATCTTTTGATCTTTATGATTCTTCATATTATTTATTAGGATATTTTGAGATAAATATTTGTATTATATATAAACATTAGCTACTCACCCCGGCTTCGTCCAGGTGTACATGTATTATACATATAAACCTTCCTCTAGAATCACTCTATGTATTAAAAATAACCGCTTCATAAGCCGTTGCGTAGTTTTAATGATTTAAGCATACATAGGGACAGACAGCGACAGCGACTTTGTTTTATACTATGTAATGATTATTAAGATTAAGATAAAATCTAATAAACAAAAGAATATCCATGTATATCTATCAGTTGTCTAGTACCCATAACACAAGCTCTGTAATGATTTTGTAGCTTAACGCTAACTTGTTTGGAATAAATAATAAAAAAAAGTCTTAGGCTTATGGCTTATACCACCGAGCTCGTCAAACATATCAGTACTGATAGTATAAGATTAGATTTAGATCTGAGATTATAGTTAATCATAAAAACACTAATACTCAGCTGACAAATAGCGCTTGCACAAGAATTCTTAGCATGTTTCTATTATTACTCTAAAGCTGCTGGCCGCAACTGGCCTTTACAGCTTCACCGGATAAGAGGCGAGTGCAGATGGTACTCCAAACCAAAGGGACTTATGGAGCGGCTGAAGGCCAACTCCCGCCTGACAGATACCACGACGGCTGAGGGCACCACTAGAGGGTACGAACCTCGGCTCACATGATCGATCGATCCCCGTTTATATAGGACGCGGGTTCCATTGAAGGAACGAATTCTTCGCATTTTGTTTTTTTAACAGATTTTTATCTCTCCCTCCGTTCTAAACATATATGAACACTTTTGTAATAATAAATAGAAGAATCATAAAGTCACGTGATTTACATAAATATTAAAAAAAAAAAAGATAAACCATAAATACATTTTGAATAACACAGATTTCCCTTTTCAGTAGTCGATTTATTTTATTATCATGTTCATTTTGTAGTCATACTTTTAATATTAACAAAATAATTAAAATGTTTTATATTTTAATAATAAAATTGTGTATTTGTTAATTTAATTGCGAAAAACAACTCACCACGATATATGTCGGCGACTATAGATAAAATACTAATTTATATCGAACAACACTGATTTGTTCAAATTACTGCAAAGTTCCGATTACGTGTACGCGATAGCAATAGACACTGATAATGTAGGATGGCCGTATACGAGGGGCGATCAAATAATGATAATATAATCAATATTAAATAAGGTGATTAAAGTTACAAAACAAATTTATTTCTCTACATAGTCTCCTAACAAGTCAATACATTGGTCCATCTTTTTTCTAAAGCAATAATTCTCTTAGAAAAAATCTTTATTTTGACCCTCCAAAAATCCCTCAACAGAGGCCATTACTTCGCCGCGTCTTCAAATTTCTTGCCTCGGAGGTGTTCCTTGAGCCGAGGAAAGACATAGAACCGTATCATTTCGCACGTACCGTCCGCCATTTTGGATTTATGACGTCACATGTTGAATTAGTTTTTTACTAGATACTAAACGTCAATTTGGAACAAAAGAAGCGTGGAAGACTTCGACTCATATGGATAACTGTCATAAAATAAGATCTATTATGTAGAAATTTAGACCCAATGACGATCCAGTAAATCAGTATCCAAGAAGCCTCTGGAGACGAATAATTAGGAGAGCCGATTCCAATTAAGATGGGATAAAGCCGAAAGAGCAGTACTAATGGATGAATATGACCCGTCTGAGGTAACTGTATATGCTGCCAGGTTCTTGTTCCTCTTTATGTTTCGCCATTCCTAACGATTGAATTAACGATGATTACTCTCTTTGTAGTTTCTTTGCCTTATATTGTAACAACTGGAGGAGGCGTTTGTTAGTAACGGGGATTAGTCATTGATCGCAATGTATTATCAGGTTTACCTTCACGCGATTCTTTTCAAAACTTTCTCTGTCAATTTCTAATGAATTCTCAACGATAGGCTAAGTGACTTGACATGCTCATACTGTCATTATTCACTGGTGCCCCGCCAGCATATACCGTAAGGACCGGATGCACCATTCAATTATTATAACAAATGTTAACGTAAATGAAATGAAATGAAATGAAATGAAATGAAATGAAATGAAATGAAATAAGTTAAGTTAGATAAGATCGTATCTAACTAAGTTAAGTTAGATAAGACTAAAGGTTTAGGTTTAGGTAAGACTATAGTATAAATGACCTTATATAAAAGTCAAATTAAATAATAAGTTAAGAAATTCATAAAACATCACGTCCCAATCTAAACAGAACTTGTACTATGGATACTAGACAACCTATAGAAATAATATAAATAGATAACATCCAGACCGACACAAAATATAATACTAAAGTTATGAATACAAATGTTTGTGCGAGTATCCAAACTGCAATCATCTGCGAAGTAAGACGGTGTTCTAAACCGCTTGACCACCGAGGCCGTCACATAATAATAATAATAAATTTAGCAAATACTGTTTAATTTACTAATAGCACTCATATATATTTGATAGCAATAAAATTGTTATTAAGATACGTAATTAGGAATAATAATTTATCATTTTATTATCGAATTATTTACGCAATTCTCATTGGACGCGCCACTTGTATGTGTAACATAATAAAATTATATCACTTTTGGTCGATAATATTATTTTGACCTTAATCTATACAAAATATATCGTATGTTTAATAATATAACGCACTAACTCATTAACAAGTAATTTTAGACAATCGACTTTAAGTTGCAGTAGTTAAGTCGATTATCCAAAATTTCCAATGTTCAAGTTAATGCCCTTTTTAATTAGCCGTTGCTAATATGTATTGTTTGTTTGAAAGCGCTAATCTCTGGAATTACTAGTCGTGTTTAAAAAAACATCTTTGCATTTGATAGCATTATTGTTGTGGAAGGTTATATCCATTAAACATTACACTATGATCCGAGCAAAAACAATATAAACTAAAAAGAAATAATAACTAACTATTCTAATGCCATTGATCGCAATTGGCCTTTATAGCTTCACTGGACGATAGGGGACAAGTGCAGGTGACACTCCAAACGCGGAAGAACTTATGGAGTGGCTGAAGACTAACTGCTGCTGCACGGATACGACTTTATTCTGAGGGCACCGCTAGGGGTTCGAACCACGTCTCAAGCCGACATCATTTTATTCCTCGTTTGAACAACAAAACCTTAGCTGGATGAATCTACGGGATACCGCAAGTGTATAAGTACTGTCTGTGATGCGTTCACGTCAAAAGCTGATGAGACCTCTGATTATCCTATTTGCGATTATGATCAACATGAAGGTACATTTACTGAAAGAATTTGATGTACTATAGATATAAAACTAAATGTTGAATTCCGTAAAATTTGGCAATAAAATGGATACAGATGGCTGTATAGGCTACAATCTTTGGCTTTAGCAGCGAAAGAAAAAATAAAATAAACTGTTGATTTATTGATATGGCTTCCATACTTGTAGATTATTATATAAATAAAGATATTTATTTTAAAATAGCAGTTACTTGCGATTTTGTCTCGATTTTCTTCAGACCTCTATCCGTTCTCGTGGCATAATCTTCACAAAAACTTCGTTCAGCCGTTTAGTCATGAGAAGGTTCTTACCTTATTTCTTAATAAACAGACATAACTCGTAATATTAGTAAAGTATACTCACTTAAGACAGAAAATATTATAATAGCAAGTCCAACCGCTAGCAACGTTCCCGTAATGCCATCGTAATCAGCAAAAATTGGTGATCTCCCAAATAACAACGCTTTCAATCTCTCCCTGACGTCATCACTCAATTCCCCCGAGTGTAATAGTTCTAGAAGCTTCTTCTTCGCCGTCACTGGATCGTCCGACTTCAATATCTCTTCTATAGCCTTCTCTTGTTCGGACATTTTAAAAATAGAATCCTGCACTATTCGAAATTCGAAATTTGATTTGCTCTGTTCGATACTGTTTTTATTGTTTTCTTTTAAATGGCTCTATGCACTGTTATTTTTTTTTATTTACCACAGGTTAGTCTATGCCTGTATAACATTTGTTATCACGAATGCAGTATATCATTGAGATGATAATATAACACGATGTTCAACGTGGACTTACACGTTGTAGTTAAACGTGTGGTCTATGGTAAAGGATTATGTCGATTTACGTTAGTCTACTCAATGTATATATATGAAAAATAAGCTAGCCTACTATTTTTAATGGATGATGATAGAATGTTGCTCTCGTCTGTCGTTTACGCTGGCAGGCCACTAGTGGAGGTTGATAAGATGAGCATGCGGTTAGATCAGTTAGCCCATCGTTACAAATTTACCAGGAATTTATCATAATGGATTTCAGAACCGCGTGGGGGTCAACCTGACATGTTACAGTTAGCTATGGGTTCATCACCGTCTGATGAACATTATTAACAATCCCCCTTCCCCCTATGGTATCAAATAGAGCAATGGGCCGTCAGCCTCTTTCCTATTAGTTACATAACAAAGGGTACCAACTTATAAAGTAATTTGCTGTGGTTATTGTTAAATGCTATGACGGCGTCGGTGGTCTAACGGTTTAACGCGCCTTCTTTCTTCCAATATTCGCTGGTTCGATCCCTGAGTGAGTCATCTACATTCGCACAGTATATCTACATATTGTGTGAGGGATAGAACCAACGATATTCATGAGTATAATTGTTTGTATCTGTCTCAGTATTTTCTTTTTATGTATGTATTTACAAAAATATATATGTATTTATATTAGTTGTCTACTACCCATAACACAAGGTCTGCTTAGCTTGAGAATAGATGGCGCTGTGTGAGATATTATTATTATAAAGAAACTCGCAAAAATCCGCGTCCGCTACCGCTTATACTTTAAAACACGCGGATAATAAATTATTTGGTTTTTATTATCACAAGTGTTTTGCGATTGCCTATTTACTGTATAAAGTAGTTATTATATACATTTTTGAGCTATTGGAATATTAGTATTCAATTGCTTATCATAATTATATCGTGAACTAGCTATATCACGCGGGTTTGCTTGCATATTTTTTTTTAATCCCTGGATAATTCACACAGGGTCCTCAAGACCCAATGTATGTAAGTAAAGCTTGTTTTATGGATACTAGACAACTGATATAAATACATGGATATTATACATAGAAAACACTCAGACCGAGTGTTTTCTATGTATAATATCAAATAAATCAAATGTTTGTACCGTGTGAGGAACCCGCTACTAGGCAGTAAACTAAACAGCTAGATTAGTTTATTAACGGTGTTTCCATCAACTGAGTGACTCAGAAACTCAGAAAAAAAATATTTTTTGTCGTCCACATTCGAATTTACAACCTTTAGGTTAAACTACTAAATCGATTATAACGAATTTTTGTATACAGATAGATAGCCTGAAGACTGGTGTTGACTAGCGTACTCGCGAAAAATTTTTAGTGTGTGGAAAACCACCCAGATCACCACAAACTATCATATTCATGAATACAAATGTTTGTATTGGGTGATGAATTGAATCCCCCATACACTGAAACCACTGGAAGTAAGGTGATGTACTAAACTAATAGACCATGGAGCCATAGGTCTCAATAATACTGCAAAATTAGCAGTATTATAGGTGTAATAAATAAATTTAAACGCTGCAAACAAAGCTACCAGATATAGCTAGGTTTTAATAAAACTGTTAAATAAAACTCAGAAATGTTACATATTGGACATCCAGGTCAAAACTAAATTAACTCCAGAAATACAAACTCTGGAAAATCCACTCTAAAATTTTTGTCTTAAAGTCTAATTTAAATATTTGAAATTCTTGAGTTTGTCAAGTATGTGCTAGGTGCGCGATATGTTCCTAAGATGTTTGATTAAAAACACTTGAAGGTAAATAATAGTAGTTTGAATTGAAGAAATACATGGTGATAAAATAAATGCTTACTAATACTAATAAATATCATATACACTATACATTCTATACATTCATCATATGTTCCTTCTTATATGTTCTTCCTTCCTGTTCCTTGTATTTAGCTCTGACCTGTCTAACTGTATCATTTTTGTTTAAATAACCAAAATGTAAGTTTAATATTAAGATAATTTGAGGTATCTATTATACACTTTACTAACTATGTAAAACTATATATCATGCATAAATTGTAAATAAGCTGTTCATTATTATTATTATTATTATTTGTTTGTTATTCTGTTGTTATTTTATTATATATAATGATTTCATCTCTAATTTAATGAATTGTTTTTATTTACGTTTATCTTATATAATAATTTATATGCTGCTGTCAGCATCGTTTTTATTGTGTTTTGATGTGTGATGTAATGAATGTTATTCTATTCTAATACCTAAAATAAAGAAATAAATAAATACATATATATTTTATTTTTTATGGATGTTAATGGAATGGTTCACCCGCCTAATGTTATACACTTGTGGGGGGCCATTCAAGTATTATGTAAGCACTATTTCTTAGCTTTGCTTATTTTAGATGACATGGGGGTGGAGGAGTCTAGATGATAATTAAGTCATCGGTAGTTATTTACGTTTTTTACACTAATGGCAACCCTCATATTGATCATATTGATATGGAACCTAACCACTGATTGCAAACAATCTAAAGTGGCAATTCCAAAAACGAACCATCGATTAACAACACATCTACTTAATCGAGATAGACATAACCTTAAAATAATGATAGGGACAATAACGGGCCATTGTTCCTTAAATAAACACTTATACAAAATTGATGCTACAGACAGTCCTCTTTGTCGGGGCTGTTTTAAAGCTGAAGAAACGGCGGCTCACGTAATCGTGGAGTCGTGCACTCCAGTGAGTGCAGTGGCCCAACAACGAAAACAAATCCTCGGAACGGTGAGGTCGCTCCGTGAAGCCTGTGAAGACACCAGGAGTCTTCTGCGCTTTTGGGAGGAGCTTGGCTGGCTACTTTAGTAGTCTGGCTCTGCACGCACAACGGCCCGAATGAGAGGCTAATTGCGGAGACTGGAGTCCAACATACATTTTACATTTTTACAACCCTCATATTGTCTTTGCTAAAAGAACAACTTTTAGCAAAGACATACATTAATTGAATAATGTTTACGTAAGCATTGGGGGAGGGGGTAAGCTCGCTTACTTTTGCTAACAAGAGGGATGGGGGTAAATAATTGTAATAAATCTGCTTACATAATACTTGAATGGCCCCTGGGGCACCAGTGGAGGATGATAAGATGAGCATGAGGTCAGGTTAGTCAGCCCTTCAAGGTAATCATGAAGCATCATTCAACATGAATTTATCACGACAGTTTCCAGGGGGAACCATGTCAAGGTCAACCTGACAACCTGACAACCCTACAATCCCCTCCCCCCGTCTACTAATATTAGAAATGTGAAATTGTCTGTAGATTTGTTACCTTTCCAAGACTAATTGGCTTAATGGATCTTATTTGTCATGATGTTTGACATGAAGACAGATTTATTTCCAGGGAGTCTTTTCTCTCAACTAATAAAATAGCAGTTAAAATTGGAGCAGTATTAATTAATATAAATAATCTTTATTCAAATAAACTTATTATTAGCACTTTTGAATATTTTGTTTATTCTACTACTCATTCGGAAACCAGTGAATAAGACTGAGCATGTAACTCTTTTAAATAAATCTTGTTCAGCATTAATTATTTAAGATTTTGTGTGAATAAAAACTGCATAATAGCAAGATTGGCAAAAGTTAGGTTGATTTATTATGTACTACCTGTACTCGTGACTTCTTTCGCATGAAATTTAATTTAATTTTTCCAAAATAAATGTATCCTAAGTTTCTCCTTATTACATCAGCTACACGGCAAAAATAGTCCCGCCAAAGTTCAGCCATTTCAGAGATTAGCCGAAACAATAAGACAGACACACAAAAATTGTAAAAAAAAATATTTTGGTGTATGTGGGGTACATACACCAAAATATTTTTTATTTATATTCATATGCATGTAGTAAAAAATGGTTATTTCAATATTACAAAGGGACACTCTAATTTTATTTGTATGTATTAAGTATAGATGTATAGATAAATCAATCATAGTTATCTGAGCATAAGATTCACAATTTCAAGCTTTTAATCAAAATACCATAAAGTATTTATTTCTAATTATCTACACGGTAAATTCAATTTAATAATATGTACATTTTATTTGATCTTTTTTTCGTTTGTTGTTTATATTGTATTTTTTACATGGCACTGAATAAAATATTTTTCTTCCTTTTTTTCTTTATTCTAAAGTATGAATATGTATCACAGTAGCAAAAGGTGTCAATAAACACAGGCAGTTGGCCATAATATCTAAAGCAATCGTTATAATTTCTTAATATATAAAACTGCTAAGTGTTGTAACAAAAATAAACTACTATAATAGAATAGAAATAATCTTCATTAAAATAAACTTAATTTTAAGCATAATTCAATAGTATTTTTTATCTACCCCCACATTTACAAATCAAATTCAATCAGAAAGAATTGGCGAGAAACACCAGTAGCGTTGAACTCTTATATATACTTTATATAAAAAACTTATATGTATATAACCGGCGTTTTAATACATTGTGAAAATATTACAATTCTTGAGCGGTCTCTAAAGGAATTGAGGGACTAGAATGAGACGTCTCCTAGTCAGCGATGCAGCTGGAAATAAGTATAGTATAATAATTTAATCGGTTCTTACCTGTTAAACTGATGACAATAATGCCGGGTACGATAAAAACACTATTAGAAAATGCATGCTCCAACGGCCCGTCTTGTCCGCCACTTAAGTCCACCATTTTCGCTTAATACTGCCACGTTTTTAATACTGAATCGGTGAGAACTAAGATTACTTCAGATCATATAAGAGAGCATTATTTAGTTTACGACAATGAATATAATATAAGATTAAATGCAATTTCTCTGCTGTCGTAATTTAACAATTTCAACATGACGTTTTTTGAAATTCGATTTTATTTGACAGTACAATATAGTTGACAATTGACAGCAACTTTGCACAGAGTAGTTAGGCTAGGACATTTGACTTTTCTAGAGACGCGGTACTAATTTCGTTACCGGTTATTTATGATGAATAAATATTCAAAACATTAATACGGGCTGTAATGGTGAACAAATGTCTTTATTATTATTACTATATTATTATATTTATTAATACAAAGAGTGGATTTTAGTGTTAGTGCAATTTTAAAAAGTTAAAAAATAAAACTGGGCATTAAGACGTCCCTCTTAATTATAAACCGTCTATTAAATTGATCACTGACAGTATTAAATTACTATATCGTCCTTTTACTACTATCTGCTGTCCGCAACTTTGTTTTTTTGAAAAAAATTTAACCTTCGCTTCGTTATGGTGATCTATTTTTATATTAATTTCGGCTGCTTATAGGAAGCTATTTAATCACGAAAAGCAAACATACAGACACACGCTAATTTATAGTATATATATGGATTTATTTGTTCATAGTCTCATTTATTTTATATAGAATATCAGGATATATTTTTTTGCTTTTTTTAAAAATAAACTAATTTATATACCGTAATATTATACATTCTTCGCATTCTTTGGTGACTGGTAATTTACGCTGGCTGGCTCGCGGTCTATGAGAGTGGTGGCAGCCTTTATAACATACAATGTTAATTACTCTGTGACTGAATGTATAAATAAAACAACAAACTAGAAACATAAATTTTATTACAGAAAATACACAATTATGTATATCTTTTGGCCTTAACGTAACATTAGTGTATACAAAATATAAAACAATATTCCACTAATGTGACATTGGATACAACAGATAATTACGAGACACAATATACAAATCTAAAATAATTATTTATACAAAGTGAAAAAACAGCAGATTTAAGTTTCTAATAGACATTAAAAAAATTTCTTAATGCTCTTTTTATTTAAAAAATAACTGTATACAATGAATATTTTGCAATAGTACAGTATTTTAATAAAGATTAAGATTCGAAATTTAAAAATAATTGCTTACACAGACATGTCTTATAAGAATTTTTTTTTTTAATTCACACTTGACTATTCCGCTAGCTTACTGCTATTTTTACACTTTATATACAGCAGCATTGACCTGTAAAGGCAATGCACAATAGTAATAAAATAGTTATCATTGTAAAATATGTTCATGGAATGTTGACCCTTATAGCTACAATGTCATCCGTAGGTATACTTGTATACATAAATACGACGGTAAACATTGTTTATATACAGCCAGTAAAAAAGCGACGCTTTTATGGTTGGTTCCGGTCGTTTTCGGACGTTTTTTGTTAGTTATACCTATATAAATTAAAAAGTATTTGAAGCCCCTCAACATAAAGAGAATTATCACAGAATAATTTGAGGCGTTCTTCAAATTTTCTCTCGACTGGTAAATTTTGGTCCACGTTTTTTTTTCATTCAGTTATTATTTAAATTCATATTATTGTCCTAAAATCTAAATATGAAACATGCATTATGAATTTTGATTATACATTACAAATAACTTAATAGAAAAAGTCATAATATTTTTATGTTGTTGTTTTGATATTTATTATAAATTAAGGCACTTTTGGAATGACATTGAGCATAATTACATAATAGTGTATAATATTAATAATATTATCACCAAAAATTCATTTTTTTTCCAATAAAATTATATTCATACATAGTAATGTTTTGTCACATTACTGGTTATTATCGAGATTCATAGAAGGTGGAAGTTCAAAGAAGTATGTTTTTTAATAGGAAAAAACATAATTAAAATAACTACTATCACGAATTTGTCGAATACTACACTTGTAACCAATAACATGGCAACACATAACTATAAAAATATCGGCTCTTTCCACACGACGCCTTAAAAACTAAAAATAACTATAACTAAAATCGAATTACGTTTCACATAATATTATTTTATTGCATTTTATTCTATGTCGTGTGCATCGAGACGAGATTCACATATAATTATCAACTAAATTACCTATTATATTTATTTTTCGAGAAAATAAACTATTTTCTTAATTCTTCTTCAGGGGATCGAGGTTGTCTATTGAAAAATCATCGTTTCCAAAGCTGATCCCTCGGCTGAAACCATCCTGGGGACAAAAATAAACCGTTCTAAAATTAATTGGTAATTTTGCGTTACTATGCATTTGTAAAGAAGCCTTAACGTCCCATCTAGCATCCTAATCCATGTAGCGGTTTAGGCGTAAAAGCAGTACAAATAAACAAAATTTTTAATTTGTTATATTAGGATTTATTGGTTTCCAGTAATTCCTTTCCAACTCTTGAATTTTATGAAAAGTTACGGTTTTTTATTTAAATAAAACAGTTTTTAGTATTACAAAACACATAAAAAAACATAGAAAATCATAATGGTGGCGAATTCCTGAACCAGTTATTGTTATTTTAATATGATGTAATCGTAAAAACACAGTAAAAAACTTTAGAAACCTTCGATATCAACACGACTTACCGATCGTCGAGCTGTCAAAAAGAAAGTTATTTGTAAGAACAGTAACGATGTAATATATAACTACTACATACTAATATATAATACTATTTACATTATATTTATCAATTATCAATTTACCCAATAAGACTTACCCCAAAGAATGGGTTCTTAAAAGGGTCTATAAATGTTTTTATACCAACCTATCTTTGTATAGTTAATTTGAGATTGTTAGTAATGTGGATTTACGACCCCATTACTAGGAATGTACCACGTCAGGTCGACCTCCACGCGGTTCCCCCTGGAAACCATCGTGATGAATTCCTGGTGAATTTGTCACGATGAGCTAACTGATCTGACCTCATGTTCATCTTATCATCCTTCACTGGTGCCCCGCCAGCATAAACCGTTAGCGCAGGTGGGTGCACCATTTCATTATCATCCGTAAAAAAAAACTAAGCAGAGTTTGTGGAATTAATATGTTGCTGGAGTAGAATTTAAGGGAATAAGATGATGAGAAAAATAATAAGTAGTAGGATTTTGCTGGTTTGAACGTGTTATGTACCTCAAACAAATGGACGGAATGTTTTGATTGATTTCGGTGCTGCCTGCTCGGTATACAGTCTATATTACTCGCTGATTTTGCAGTTCTATATAATACGAAAACATAATATAAATTAAAAAAATAATAAATATTATTTCATTATTTTAAAAATTTTAGTAATTATTTTTTAACATTTATATATCTAATCGATCAAAATAAAATATCTTTATTTGTGTAGATCTATTACAGACTCTTATGATATGTCAAATCTACCATCAGTTCGGAGTACATTGGAGATGAAAAGAACTGACAAGAAACTTGCTCGTATTATTTTCAAATAAGCTTGTACACGATTACAATAAAACAGATTCGTTTTTAAATTCAAATTTGAGAGAATAGAGTGTCCACCAGCATATGCTATTGCAATTTTGTCAAAAGGAAATAGTCTAATCAGAGGTCGTAATCTCAACGGACTACAAGCAGCACCCGTTCACAAGTATGACACATATTGCATTTTATAATATTAGTATATAGGTACTGACCTTCATCTCCGAAATGGTTTTATCTAGGAATCCATTGAAACTGCTGTCCAACTCAACAGTCTGCTTTTCACTCAGGTTACCGAAACCGTTGAAGGTGTTTCCGAAGCCGTTACCGAAGATGTTCCCAGTCTTGGCGGTGTCGAACGGGTCGTAGCCGGATAGCCCGTTCGTAAACGACGTGTTGGTGTTAAAGACTGAAGTTTGGAGGTTGAAGTCACTTATGTCGTAGTTGGGCTTCGTGGAGGCGGTGACGAAGGGTGAAGTCTGTGGTGCAGACTGTGGTTGCGCTGGCATGAACGGGGTTGAACCGAAGATGTCGCTGTTTATTGCGACAGGGGTTGAATGTTGCGGTTGCGGCGCGACTTGTTGTGGCGATTGGCGTTTTGAAGATTTCGGGGGTGGAGCTACTGCAAAAAAAATAATCATTTATTTTTTAATAAAAATTTGCATGCCTCCTGACAAACGCGTATTACAGCGCTGCTTGCTAATATCACTGTGGTTTAATTGTTTATGTATAGACAGTAATGCAAATAAATTACTTATTTACTACCGATGTTGTTTGAAACTGATAAAAATATGACTCATAATTTAGATATTTTACATTTGCGACTGTACTGAAAACGTGTAATGTACTAGTATACATTAATTAAAAATATAGAGAACCATGGTTAACCACGAAATCTAGAATCGAATTAGTTATTATTAATCGAATAAATCATATAACCTTTCTTAAAGTCGGTTAAAAAGGAAAATATGTATCAGAAATTCCCATACAAATAATATTTGATTCCAATCTACTGTACTAAAAAAGATTCTATTTTACATATTTATAAAGCATACTTTTGTTAATTTTACACAACTTACGAAATTAATCAATTTTACAATCATTAAACATAAAATACTAACGCAGTGGCGGAGTGGGTGTGGCGTTCTCGACGGGTGCAGCGAACCGAGTCACGGGTTCAGACTCGTATGCGCGTGGGTCGAAGTCTGCAATTAGTGAGAAAACAACTTAATTACATGTACAAATGAAAGTGAAAGTCGTTAGATGCTGACTGCGGTATGTAAACTATGGTATTCTGTAACACACTCTCACAGTAATGACAGTTATTAGGAAATAACTTGAATAAAACCATAGACACATAAACAAAAGCAATAAACAAATAGGTCAAAAAAAAAATTTTTTTTCAGTTACTAACAGCATAAAAGTTCGTTTCTATAAATTTTGATAGGTGATAAGGTTTTTAAATGTAAGATCTTATAAAAATACAATAAATACTAAATATTATATGGAATATATAAGCGATAAATCAGCCATTTATCTATTTAATATTTATTGTATTTTTTAATGACTTATTTATGTTCTTTGTAAAATACTTACAGTGCAATAAATAAAATAAATATATATAATCCAATATTTGAAGTATTTAGCATACAATGATATATCATACAACATAAATACATTATATATCTACCTTAAAAACAATAGCCTCCTTTCGCGGCGGTAGGGTAAAAATAATATATAGGTATTTTATTCCTCATTTTGAAGTAGAAATAGAAATAATCTTTATTCAAATAAACTCATTACAAGCACTTTTGAATAGTCATATTTTGAATCTACCACTCATTCGGAATGCAGATTCATCACAAGAAGAATGAGCAAGAAACTTGTGTGTTGCTCTTTTTAATAGATGATTTTTTTTATATAAATAATTACAAGTGATTTATATATTTATTTATTGATTATCGCATGCCTTTTGAATGCGATAATCAACATATAAATCGCTACGCACTCATTATTAGTGTAATCAGATAATATTGTCAGTGCTATGGATTTAAAGTTTTTCTATAAAAATATTATTATCGTTAACGAATTTTTCAATTTTGTAGTAAGCTTTTTTTGCAAAGGAACTGTTTTAGTTAACATTTAAATCTTTTTTCTGGCAGATTTATAACAGATTCTGGTATTTTATTGTAAAACCTTACGCAACTGCCATAAAACGAATTACTAACTTTAGCCAAACGACATTTAGGTAAAATCAGTTTGTTATTGTTACGTAAGCTTTTATTGGTGCAATCACTAACTCTTTTGAGAACTGTCTATATTCTTCCTGGCATAGATGATATTTTCATAAATGTATTGAGAAGCAACGGTGAGGATATTTGTTTCCTTAAAACATTCTCGCAATGACTCCCTGGAACCCATACCATAAATGGAGCGAATGACCCTCTTTTGTAAAGTAAATATTCTATTTATATCAGCTGCTTTGCCCCATAATAAAATACCATAAGTAATGAAGTGTATTCTAATTCTTCAATAATAGCGAATAATTTAAAAAATAATCTTAAGTTCTTAAGTTACAATCTTAGTTACAAACAGGTATAAAAATAGACGAAAGAACAATATATATGCAGGTATAATAAAAGTTTTGAACTTACCACTATCTGAGTCCGAATTCAGTAGTAATCCTTCCAGTTTAGTGCCTACTACGGGATTCTTGCTTGACGACAGATCGCCCAAGAGTTTACTGTAAAGAAAGAAATAAAATCGATTAATAACTATAAATACATTAATATTAGTGATATTACCAATATTAAAGTTATGTTTCGGTTTTCTATATAGACTTGCCAAAAATTTCGGTAATAATCGGTTTTGTAAATGTCAACCTATAATTGACATAGAATACAACCTGTTTATTGCAACTGTGGATCTTTGCCTGTTCCATCACTGAAAAGGAGATGGACGAATATGGGAAAAAAAGCAACTGAATTTGTATTGTCAATTATAATGTGATATTTATATATAAAAATAAATTTGTAGTTGACAGAGTTTTTATTTTTTCATAATTTTTTTATTTTTTCATAATTGTTTTTATTTTTATGTTTTGGCTCCTGCGAACTTTTGATGTTTTTTTTCTTTTAAATGTATTCGATTCGACAGGCTAAGAGCATATCCCATACTGGCCAATTAAAATAAATTAATGTTAAAGTGTTATAGATGACAACTGATATAAATACTTATAGACAATATTTTTTTGTAAATACATAATATGCATAAAAAACACCCAGACTGATTGACACAAACAACAAGACTCATGAATACAAGTGTTTGCACCATGCGAGAAATCGAACCCGTGACCATCGGAAGTAAAGCGGTGTGTTAAACCGCTAGACCACCGAGGCCGTCAGTATTATTATAGATAAGATATGGTATTATGAAGCTACATACCCAGTATTAAAGTTGTTTTTCCCATTGTGCGTGGGTGGTGGTGTGGATAACAATAAGTTGTTGTCGTTGCTAGAATTGAACGTATCTGTTGAATTGTTGGACAGTGCGTCTGTTGCTGGAAATAAATATAAAAAAAATTAAATTACTTAAAAAAAATTACGTACCGTACTTACTGTAAATATATACTACTAGCTGACTCGCGCAGCTTCGTCTGAATCAAAATTACTTGAATATACTAGCTGTGCCCGCGATTTCAGCCGCGTTAGATTATTAGCCTATATGTTATTTTGATGTATAAGCTATATTACTGTAAAGTTTCATTAAAATCAACCTTTCGCATTTATATTATTACTATGATTTCGCCCAATTTACATAATACCTTTTTAAATTGTAGCCTATGCGTTATTCTGACGTATATGTTATATTACTGTAAAGTTTCATCAAAATTCGTTTAGTAGTTTCTGCGTGAAAGTACAGTAAGTACAGTAAATCAAGTATAGCTCAGGCTTGTGTCACTTTCATACAAATGTGCTAACGTTTCCCTATCATACATACATATTTTATAAATTCATGCATAATAAAAACGCCTAGTCATCCAAGTCACCCAGATACGTGATCTCCCCTGGGAACCTGATAAATTGCCATTTGCCTAGATGGGCTGACTCACCTGACCTTATGTGCTCATCGTATGATGCTCTACTGATGCCTCCACCGGGTGTACAATTTTTTTTATTGGGTTGTTTGGACTATTGTCAGGTGCTTCGACCTGTAGCACTGTGACCTACATAGATCTATTGTGCTCACCCTTTTTCAGAGTCCGCTACCTAGACCCGTCAGGGACAAGAATTGAAGGATATTCTTGTAAGTGCGATGGTTTTTATCTCCTGAGGATAGAGTGTAAACTTTCCAAAGGAGATATTTCGTTTATGCATGAGTGGGCTACAACCACATAGGATGTGTAGTGGCGTTTCCTCTTCAGTTTCAAAAATATTTTTATGAGTTAATTGTACTTACAGATTTCAGGCGTTTTGTTCCCGTTCATAGCGCTGAAACCGTTGGCGAGTGTGAGAGAGGAGATCTGTTTCTCTAACTCTGGTGGTGGTTTGAACTCGGCGATCTCTGAGAGGCTGTTCCTCGCTAGGTACGCTGACAGATCATCCTTGTATGTAATCTTTGATAACTCCTGCAAAATAATTTTATTATTTATAATGCTTTATTGAATGTGGATGGTTATAAGGGCAGAGGGAGGCCGAGAAAGAGATGGATGGACTGTGTGAAAGATGATATGGTAAGAAAGGGAGTAAATAACGCGATGACTGCGAACAGGGATGAATGGAAGAGAAAAACATATTACGACGACCACAAATAAATGGGATAAGGAAGAAGCAGATGATGATGATAATGATTTATTTGCACTAACATTAAAAGTAGATATATTTAAAAATATAACAATAGATTAAAGAAAGAATATTACAGAAGGCGCTCTTATCGCTAACGCAATCTCTTACAGACAACCTTAGGAAAGGGAGTGGCACTAAATATTCAGCAGGCGGTACATAAGTGGACTAGACAACTGATATAAATACATATATTTGTTTGTAAATACATAATATACATAGACACTAACCGATACGAACAATCATATTCATGAATACAAATGTTTGTACCGTGTAGGAATTGAAACCAACGAGTGTTAGGAATTGAATCCGTGACCATCAGAAGTAAAGTGGTGTGCTAAACCACTAGACCACCGAGGCCGTCAAAAAAGACTAGTATTTGTAATTTTTTTTTTATTACTTTTATTTATTACCTGTAAACGATTTTTGTACGCGTTCACCTGCAGTTCTAATTTCTTGTTGTGCAAACTGAGTTTCTGCATCTCAATATACTTTCCATTATCGTTCAAGAATCTCCTGGAATTAAAAAAGAAAAAAGAACATGTATTTGACACACACACACACACATATATACTCTTTTATTTATTCTTAGTCTGTGGTCAAATTGGGAATAGATTAATATTATTTGTCTATAGTCTTATTGAATGTTAAATTAATATTGGTCGAATTTCGACAATGGAATGATTTTAAAATATGCTCAAGCGCAGTGATGGCTGACTCATCCGTCATATTGGTGAACGAGTGCTGCTTGTAGGGACTGATCTGCTCTTATCACTACGACTGATTTAATCTTATTGTATATTTATATTTGATCTTAATAGTGCTGGTTGGTAGTTTGTATTCACACATTTTGACTTGTAAATGTAAACTTACAATGATTGTTTAAAAGAGCAACACTCAAGTTTCTTGCTCGTTCTTCTTGTGATGAGACAGCTTTCCGAACGAGCGATAGATAAAAGAAACTGTTATGACTATTCAGAAGTGCTTAAATTAAGTTTATTTGAATAAATGATTTTCTATTCTGTTCTATTCTATCAACACAAGCTTACAAGATGAATACTACTTTATTGACAATTGGGGGTAATAATAAAAACATAAGCAGCAGACTACAAACATAATACACTACAATAAGTAAAAAAACTAAATAAAAATTTACCTGTAAGCTAAATCGAAAGCTTGACCGATAGTTAAAGTAATTTCCGAGGCTAGTTTTGTTGATATAAAAACAAAACACTCGTGTTTTTCAAGGTTGGGGGTGTTGTCGTGGCCGTTCACACCGTTGACAGTGCTGCCACCTTTGGCGATGAACGAGAAGTACTTTTTCGCGCCTTTATCATCCGCGCAGTATGATATCCGGTGAAGCGGGAACTGGTACATAATGTTGTTGGATCTTGGCTCCTGGAAAGAAAAAAAAATTGCTATTTGTTTCCGTATTATAGCCTGACTCGACCGAAATTTCGACGGCCTGAGCCGAGGTTTGAACCCCTAGCGGTGTCCTCAGACTAAAGTGGTATCCGTCAGGTGGGAGTTGGCCTTTAGCTGCTCCATAAGTCCTTCTGCTGTTAGGAGTGCCTTTGAAGCTGTAAAGGCCAGCTGCGGCCAACAGCATTAGAGTGGCCCGAAAAAGAACACGATGGACCCGGAACCCGCACAGTTAATCCATGGAATATTTAGAAGTTTGTCTCTCTTACATTACATTTACTCTTTTTACAGTGCACTGAATAAAATATTTTCTTTCTTTCTTTCTTTCTTTCTTTCTTTCTTTCTTTCTTTCTTTCTTTCTTTCTTTCTTTCTTTCTTTCTTTCTTTCTTTCTTTCTTTCTTTCTTTCTTTTTTATATCAGTTTTTTAGTAGCCATACACAAGCTCTGCTTAGCTCTGGACTAGACGGCGCTGTGTGAATCATCCAAGCATATAAATAAAATTGGAGTGTCAGTCTGTAATATTGAAATAACCATTTTTTACTACATGCATATGAATATAAATACGGTACATACACCAAATTAACATTTTTTACAATTTTGGCTGTCTGTCTGTTTGTTCCGGTTAATCTCTGAAATGGCTGGACCGATTTTGACGGAACTTTTTTTGCTAGGTAGCTGATGTAATATGAAGTAACTTAAGATACTTTTTTTTTAGAAAATTAAAGTTAAATTTCTCTTCGGGTACATTTGGGTACAGCTAGTTATTATTGTAAAATAGCTATATGACATTTTTATACAGACAACACCGCAGTAGAAGCCACTACTATATTCCTATTGACTGCACCCTAGTCTCCACTTTTCCGCCACAACGAGCACACAAGGTCGCTAATACATTAAACCGCTCTCTATTGTTGTACCACAGGTAATTCCGGTATTATACACTAGTTGACTACCCATGTATGAACTAATAGACGGCTGAATTACATGTTTATATTATTTTTAACTGGCCGATTTGCCTAATTTCGTTTACGTCTCACCTAAAACACCTTTTTAGATACCTAGAGCCTGGATGACACACAAAATTCACCTTTTTAGATAATATTCCTGTAATGGAATGGTGCACCCGCGTGTTCTAATGGTATACGCTGGCGGGGCTCCAGTGGAGGATGATAGGATGAGCATAAAGTCAGATCAGTTGGCTTAAAGTGAGAATTACGACAAAATATAACATTATTATTTATAAAGAAAAGAAGTTTTATACGTAAAATTAAAAAAATCACAAATTAATTGTATTTTTTTTTATTGGGGATTTGGGCTATTATCAGACGCTAAGACTTGTAACACTGCGACTCGTATAGATCTATTGTGCTCGCCCTTATTCAATTCGCTACTTAGACCCGTGAGTAACAAGAATTAAAGTAAAAATTAATTGTAACACTGTCGAAATATCGGGAACTTAACAAAAATAAAACGTGGTAAGATCCCGTGATTTTCTATAAATAATGACGACGTCAAATTTAAAAAAGGATTTAAGTTTAAAACTGTACATTTATTACTAGTATTTACATAACCTAATTGTACACCTAAGAACCTAAAATTAAAAAGCTTAAAAAAAATATATAATATGATGACTAAAATATATTATTAAAAGGGGTCCCTTTAGGCAAGGTTTTAATTTAATTTAAATTAATAATTTAATAAATGGATTTAATATATTTTTTAATTTTAATATTATATATAGAAATAAAAAAAAAAAAATTATGACACTGTCGAAATATCGGCAACTCAATAAAAATGAAACGTGGTAAGATCCCGTTATTTTCTGTAAATAATGACGACGTCAACTTTTAAAAAGGATTTAATATATTTATAGTAAACAAATAATAATATAAATGTTTTAAACGTGTGACATTCGTACCCGCGACCATCGGAAGTAAGCCAGTGTACTAAACTTCCATACCACCGAGGCCGTCTAATTTCATAATGGTTGGTTAAGCTGTTAAGGAGTGAGAGCGAAACAAACAAACTCACTTATGCAATTATACAGTTAAGGTACTTAGTTTACATTTGTAAAAACCATAGTCAACAAACACTATCTGAAACTCTAAATAACAGAGTACTTTTTTGCAATCACGGAAAACGCGAATCTTGGGTCGTTACCTTTATTTTTATAAAAGTTCTTAAAAAAACAGTCCTATTCAGTCAGACTCTATGTCATGATGACATTCTATTTTCAAATTTAGATTTTAAATAATAGTACACTATGATAAAATTGCTATATGATCATAAGTCTGGGCGCACACTGAATTTCGTTTTTAAAAGATAAATAGCGAAGCGCAGGAACAGCGAGATACAGCTTTATTTTACTGTTATGTTACGATAAGTAGCGAAGCGCTGTAACAACATGATATAGCTGTATGTTATGATACGTGCTGGATGCCAACCGTACGAGGCTCATCGTTCATCTTAGAAATACGACATTCTTGGCCTTTGGTACTAGCAAATTTCATCATCGAATAATTTAGTACGAGATTTTGAACAACGAAAATTAGTCAAAAAATCATGACATTTTTTTTAAATGTCACATATTGTAACTTTTAACGTATCACGTCCCGCCCCTTTTTAACGTGTCTAGTAAATTATGGATGCCCCCTAACAGGCATATCAACTACGTAAACATACAAGTTTCAGTACAACACAAATTCTGTAATTACAGGAAGTCAATTAAGCGTATTGTATACACGAAGTGATGACTGAAATTAGTTACTTTGTTACTTGATTACTATGACTGTGCGTTCAGGATTTGTTTTAAACATTTTATCGAGTTTTGTGCAATAATGTTTATAAATACTCTTCTACTCTCCCCGGCTTTGCTCGGGTGTACATGTATTATACATATAAACCTTCCTCTTGAATCACTCTATCTATTAAAACCGCTTTAAAATCCGTTACGTAGTTTTAAAGATTTAATCATACAGGACGGACAGACAACGAAAGCGACTTTGTTTTATACTAGTGTAGTGACTAGCTAATAACCGCGACTGCGTCTGTATTTTTGGAAGATAAAGCAATTTTTTTTATTATCTTTAGAATAATACAGATCTATTAAATCACATCAGTTGTACATTGCTGCATGGCCGATAGGGTGTAACTGTTGATACATATACTATATTAGCTGTGCCTGCGGTTTTACCCGCGTTACATTCAATATAAAATATAGTATGTCTATTATTCTGATGCATAAGCTATATACTGTAAAGTTTCATCAAAACCCATTCAGTAGTTTTTGCGTGAAAGAGTAACAAACATCCATACTCACAAACTTTCGCTTTTATAATATTACTAGCTACTCGCCTCGGCTTCGCTCGGGTGTACATGTATTATACATATAAACCTTCCTCTCGAATCACTCTATCTATTAAAAAAAACCGTCACAGACTTAAAAATTTAATCAATACATAGACGGACATACAGCGACAGCGAGTTTGTTTTATACTATATAGTGATTGCGATGTATTAAATAATTATTAATTGTTATTTTTTTAAAAGCAAAAGAATAATATTACTATGTAGGTAAGAGATACAACATCATATAACATAATATATGGTACATAGTACGTGATGAATTTTTAAACTATACATAACAGTTGCGTAAGTGTGAAGTTATACGATATGGCGGTCAAATGACGCTAATGGCGTACACCAATTCGCGATGGAATTGTAAATGAGCGATAGTTAAAAGGGAAAGTAAAGTTGGTCTAACGCCCTGATTCCATTCGGTGGTAATTGTGTTCCGTTTTACGCAGAATAAAGAATTTTTTCTTTAGCGGTTCACACCGTATTGTTTGAGATCGTCGCGGGTTCTATTCTCGTCCTATACAAATATTTATATTAATGAGTATGACTATGAACAAAATATTTAATTATTTACATCAGAGAGAATATAAAAAAAGAAAGAAAATATTTATACAATACACATAAGCTTGATGTTGGGTCTCACGCCCTAATACCAATTGTGTTCCGTTTTACGCAGATTAAGATTTTTTTCTTTAGCGATTCACACCGTCCTGTTTGAGATCGTCGCGGGTTCTATTCTCGTCCGATACGAACATTTATATTAATAAGTATGATGATGAACAAAATATTTAGTTATTTACATCAGAGAGAATAAAGAAAGAAAGAAAATATTTATACAATACACATAAGCTTGATGTTGGGTTTAACGCACTAATACCATTTGGTGGTACATAATTATGTTCCGTTTTACGCAGATTAAATATTTTTTTTTCTACATTTCATTTGTTGATTTTTCTGTTTTGTTAGCATGTATCGGCTGTGTAACTGTGTATCGACGCTACCGTCGTCAATGCCGTGATCATAGAGACAATTTGAATTTATATTTTATTATTATTTCTTATGTATATTAGTCTTTAAGATATAAATAATATGGACCATGTAGCCTGAATTATATAAAATAAATAAATTACATAAATTTTGATACCTGTATGGCAACACCGTCGACCGATATCGTGATCTCGACCTTTTTACATTTGGCCGCATCTTTAGTTTCTGACTTCTTGAGTTGTTGTGTGAACTGCAGTTTTTTTATTGCGTCCTTGACTACCTCTATGCCTTTGGGTTGGTCTACTTGTGTGCATCCGAGGAACTGTAACGAAAGCATTACTAAAATAAATAAAACGTAAAGCAATGTAACGTAACCATTTCATTAATATTAGTTACTAAAAAAAATAGAACTATATTAAACTGGAGGGAGTAAAAACAACATATGCATGATGACTAGAGCCCTCACAGGACACTGCAAATTAAACAAGCATATGGACAAACTAGACCTATGCACGACAAGAATCTGCAGATTCTGCCAAACTGAAGAGGAAACGCCGCTTCACATCGTATGTGGTTGTAGCCCACTCATGCATAAATGAAATATCTCCTTTGAAAAGTTTACACTCTTTCCCGAGGAGATAAAAACCATCGCTCCTAAGAATATCCTTCAATTCTTGTCCCTGACGGGTCTAGGTAGCGAACTTTGAAAAAGGGCGAGCACAATAGATCTATGTAGGTCGCAGTGCTACAGGTGCTACAAACATCTGACAGTAGCTCAAACAACCCAATAAAAAAAAACTGGGGGAGGAGATTCTTAGCCGAGGTTCGAACCCCTAGCCCTCAAAGTATAGTCGTATCCGTCAGGTATGAGTAGGCCTTCAGCCGCTCCATAAGGTCCTTCCTTTGATTTGGAGTGCCATCTGCACTCGCCCCCTAACGTTTACACCCTAGCAGTATGACCGGGTAATGAGCATATACTCGAGGCCCGTACTCAACAGCCCATTTTAAAGGCCCGCGGAAGAACCCCCTGCTGCCCCCTAACGTTCGGTGAAGCTGTAAAGGCCAGCTGCGGCCAACAGCATTAGAGTTATCCGAAAAAATAGTAGTACATACTTAGTAATATTCTGACTAGTTCCAATTAGGAAACTAGTGCCTCATTTCTTGACTGCCTGTGGTTTAGCGGTTTAACATCTCGACTTGCTTTCAATGGCCAAGTTCGAGTCCTCGTATGGTACAAAGTATTATATGTATATATGAATATAATTGTTTGTATGTATTTACTAAAAAAAATCTAAGTATTTATATCAGTTGTCTAGTAGTTAGTACCCCTAACACAAGCTCTTGTTAGCGTAGAACTACTATGAATATTTTGTTTATTGGGATTTTCGTAGAAAGTTAATAAGTTATTAAAGTTTTTGATTCATATACTAATATAATATATATAATATTATAATTAATATAAACATTAATATCAGTGCGATAGTATGTCACACATGGTCCAAATAGTTTCGTATATCTACACTATCAAATGTTGGGGGCGTCGTATCTCTCGCACTCATGTCCATGTTAAATCGTGTAATATTGATTTATTTTCACTACCTATTCTATTAATAGAGTATAATATATAATGGCGTCAGTGATCCAGTGGTTTAGTACCAGTAGGTTTAGTTCGATTCCTCGCACGGTATATGGAAAACATTTGTATTCATGAGTTTGATTGTTTGTATTGGGCTGGGTGTTTTACATGTATAGGTATTAGCTGTGCTCTCGGCTTCACCCGCGTTAAATTTCAATATAAAATATAGCCTATATGTTATTCTAATGTATAAGCTATATAACTGTAAAGTTTCATCTAAATCCGTTCAGTAGTTTTTGCGTGAAAGAGTAACAAAGATCACAAACTTTCGCGTTTATAATATTACTAGCTACCCACCCCGGCTTCGCTCGGGTGTACATGTATTATACATATAAACCTTCCTCTTGAATCACTCTATCTATTAAAAAAACGCTTCAAAATCCGTAGCGTAGTTTTAAAGATTTAAGCATACATAGGGACAAACAGCGACAGCGACTTTGTTTTATACTATGTAATTATTATTAAGATTAAGATAAATATTAATAAACAAAAGAATATCCATGTATATCTATCAGTTGTCTAGTACCCATAACACAAGCTGTGTTTTGTTTGCGATTAGATGGCGCTGAGTGAATTGTGGATGGAAAAAAATCTTAGGGGACGTTTACCACTTACGGTAGGGCGAAACTGTTTTTCATTCCAGTAACATTTTAAAAAAAAAGATGATGTACCAACCTTGACAAGATACGCTACATGTCCTTTGACTAAGGCGTCGGGCGCGTGTATCCAGTTTCGGCCGTTGGGGGCACCGTTGGTTTTACCACGCCCCTGCCAAAACAGCAGGGTGGACATTCTGAAACAACAGAAAATACATTTAAAAAAAATCTAAGACCCCCCACCTGATGGTAAGTGGTAACTGTCACCTGTATACATGAATAGCACCACAGGTATCGCTTTGGATAATGGAATCATGCACCGGCTTGTGCTAATGTTTTACGCTGGCGAGGCACAAGTGGAGGATGATAGGATGAGCATGAGGTCCGGTCAATTTCCAGCGTGTAGGTCAACCTGACATGTTACACTGCTAGAAATGGATACACCAATCCATATTGCCAATAATCACCTTCCCTCCCCCCCTGGACATGAAATTATCATATGACGGCTGTGATAACATTTACGGTGAGAAAAGGAGATTGTTAGTAATGAGAACAAGAACTCCATTGCTAGCAATGTACCAATTTAGGTCGACCTGACCTCATTCTCATCTTATCATTCTCCACTAGGCCCCGTCATACCATTAGCGCAGCGGGTCAGCCATTCCTTTTTCATCCATTATAAAAGAAAGACTATTACGGAGTCATTCCGAAGGTGCACTACCTCTTATGCTGTAATTTCGCTGCCTAACCTCACCCTACAACCGAAACAGCTTACAAAGCAAGCTGCTTGACGACTAAAATAGATAAAACAGTGGCATGCAGGCGATTTCGATGCTGGCAAACACGCATATGGCCCATCTGATTTATCATTCAAAAACGTCTTCAATCAATAAGTATCTCTGTTATTCCGCATGTGATAAATTATAATACTAGACGTTGGTGTGTATACTAATGATTTTGTATAGACGATTATGTTAAACTATTAACCTAATTTTTCCCGCGCAAAAAACATCACTTGTCAATAACCATAGACAAAAAATAATGTAAATAGACACGCAAGATTTCCATGCGGATTATTATGAATCATTAACATAGATTATGGCCAACGTGCAAGCGTTTCTTTTTTATTATAGTTGTCTACATTCTACATAGAAAAGCGATTTTTATCTGATGGCGTGTACACTTCCATCATAATATTTGAATAATTTATCGTCAGGTGTTAATTCAGTCGCGGTCGCAAAGTCTGCATGATCTATCAATAAAAAAATAAACTTTAACATGTCTGTATGGGGACCGTTCCTGTGCCTTTATATCGTAATTAAAATTAAAAAGATAGTGAAAAACTTTTGTTTGTCTTCACTTTTAAGAAAAAATAAAAATAATATTTTTAATAAGTGCTTTTTGTAAGGAATGTATAATAAAATTATGGATACTTATTACATATCCATTAAAGCATCACATTCAGTCTGAATACCATTGTATTTAGCAACTAGTTATTATTTAAATATTTTTCATTATATTATATACAATAAAAATTCTTTCATTAATTTTGCTAGAATTGACAAGTACCACACGTTGCGATATCAACGTCAAACGCGCACCTTAGATATCAACGTCAAACAGATGTATGGGCTTAGTCTTTTTGCCTTTCCAAAATAGTAACAAAAGAAATTAGCCATACAGCTATGGAGGTTGGTGATATAATCAATTGCGAACATATTATTAACTCTACGAACAATAATTGTTGGTTATATCCTTGATAGTACGTCGTGACATGATCGATATGTATGTGCTGAATAAATTGTGCATAATTACGAACATTTTCCGGATCTAGGAGTATAAAAAAACATCTACACTAATAATAAATCCGTTTTTTGTAGGTATAACCGGCCGAATTTAATAGACCATTCAGATTGAAAGCATGTTATTAAGGATATTATCATTTTCATCGACAGTTGAAAGAAGTTATTATAATTGGTGTAAAGTGGAGATTTTATTTTCCCGCCAGATTTTTTTTGTAATAAAGAACACAACGTAATATTGTAATTGAGTACGTACTTAAAAATATTAGAAAAAATATGTAAGCAGACGTACGAATAAAAGATATAACTTGGCCGCACTATTGTATGGAATCCTATAGAACGCAAGCTCTTTGTGAAATGGACAATTTCGAATGATTTTTTGAAAATGGAAGATATTAATTTATTTCTGATATTGTGACGCACATAGTAAAGATACATAATAAGTTATTCAATTATTATTTACTGATTATTTGAGCCACTTTTCAATTCAAAAAAATTAACAGTTCTATTCTAAATTCAAAAACGTAAACATACAAGGTCGATGCAATTTTCGACCTTATTCGCTGCTAAATAGTGATCACACAATTATTTAGCACCCTGTTGTCAAATACATGTAAATAGTCAATACGCTAGTCTACATAATGTCTTAGGGTTCTGTATATTTTAAATCTGTTCTGGAGGCGTAACTCAGCGTAACTCTGTGTCAGTTATTTGGTTTATTTATAATATTAATCTAGGCAGTTGTTTTACTTTTAACAAAAAATTTAGTTAGGTTATCGTTATGAATTCATAAGGAATTAATTTTCCGAATAATTGTTCGACATGTTGCCCACGGCTACCTTTTACCATCGCACCGTTCGCTATCAACAAGGAATTCGTCCCCATACACTGGAACCTAAGTGGTCTCGGACAGTGCGGTTTCAGAGGAGTTTTCTCCCGCGTACACTTAGATTGTGTAAATGAAATACCAAGGTTTTGTCGAGAGACTTGGGGTTTGTCAAGAAGAGTAAATGTATTAAGGTTTATTAAGGGTAGGCAACGTGCTCGTGACACATCTAGTGTTTCAGGCGTCCATAGGCTACGGTAATCGTTTACCATCAGACGGGCCGTATGCTTGTTTGTCACCATCGTAGTATTAAAAGAACTTTTTCTGTTTCCAGGCTAAATAGATATCGAATACGATTTTTTTTAAGTACATTATTATTAATGGGTACAAAAAATCCCTACCTCTGAAGATTAGATTTAAAATAGAACTACGGAATTCTAAATCTTAGTTCGACGTTCTACAAAGGTCAGTGGCGGGTAAACGCCTTGTCGGCGGCCATGTTTGAATACAAATTACAAAATGCGTTGTGTCACATAAACATATATTTACAGTCAAAGCTTTGTATAGTTTCATTGCGCATTTTTTTGCGGAAATTAATATTTATAATGGAATGGTACACCTGCCTGCGCTAACGGTATACGCTGGCGGGGCACCAGTGGAAGATGATGAGTATGAGATCAGGTCAGTTTGGCAAATTAACCAGGAATTTATCACGATGGTTTCCAGGGGGAATCGCGTGGAGGTCAACCTGACATGGTACACTGTTAGCAATGGGGTTCAAGGGTAACAAGTCGACATTATCAATTATTACCAATCTCTCCACGCTGTAGTAGATTTGCCACGTAATAGAAGTTTGTAAGCAAACCTACATCAATAGAGATATTTTTGGTTTTGAAATGAGTTAGAGATAGGATGGCACTGCGGACTTCCATCATGCATATATATCCTTATTAAAAAAAAAGTTTTGTAGTATATAAAAAAAGAAAGATTGACCTACCAACGAAAAAGGTCATCTTGTTTTTTTTTAAATAAAGAATACCGAGATTCTTGTGTGAAGTCTAGAATTAAAAATGCATTGTTTTAGATGTAATCATTGTGAACAAGTGCATTAATTACTCTGTAATTAGTGTTTCCCGCATTTTAAAAGTGTAATTCTCATAGCAGCATATCTATATCTTTTGCGTCATAGTGATTAGAAAAAAATGTAATGGTATTTGATAATTAGAAGGTACTTAGCTACCGAGGTATTAATAATAAAAAAGAATATTGCTAATTGGAAAAAGGCAATTTATTACGTTACACGAATTTGGTAACAAAGCGTAGGGCAAAATATAGGCAATAAAATGTATTGATTTAAAAAAATCAACGAAATAGCGTTTTTTTCGCATGTTTAATAATAAATTGCGATGAAACACCTACTAGATAACTACTGCAAAAATATTTTGCATAATCGTCATTAGTAAGATGTATGGGTGCAGTTTGCCTTTATAAATTAAGAAAAAACAGAAACAAATAAAATCGCCATTAAAGAAAAAAAAAGTCGAATCTGTATACATAAATAAACTATTTTTGTTTTTTTTTTAATAGTAAATACGTTCCAATAATATAATAATATATTTATTGCTGATTTTAAGTAACAACAATTACTAACTAGTATATGCAATTGCGCCATCTTTGTGGTAAAAAGCGAACTTACTTAATATTATTGGTGTAAATAGGTAAACTGTTAAATGTACTTACTTGAAATAATAAAATAACAAGGGATTACTAATTTCAGAACATTAAGTTATACGTAAAAGCATAGCACCTATTATTAGTTTTAATTATCTATAATAGATATAGATTATCGAATAACAAGGATAAATCCTAAAAATGAACTATACTTCTAACTTAAAACCAGCGTCCATTTTCAAATCGCTTTGTCACGACTTTTACAGCTATTAAAAAACGATTCATCTGACTTTATAAATATAGTTTAGTATTACTCGATAATCTATGGAACATATGCCATTACAAGAATTATACGTTATCGTGCTGACGTGACGACCTATCAACTTTATAGATGTAATTAGATTTCAACGCTATAGGAATAAGGTGAGATATTGTATGGCATGTCAATGGTGGTTAGGTCGTTATGTTAATGGATATTACCAAGTTCCGTACTAAGCACGGAGTGACACCGCAGTGTGCTCAACACTGATGCAACGTCGTCGTTCATTCACACTCGCGTCTATAGTGAGGTGCGTAATCAATGTTTACGTATAGATCGCGAACTTAATCGTTTTGTTTTTTCATTATATTTGCAAATGTTGGCATTATTATGAATAAATGTAGTTTTTAATTACTAACAAGCACGATACACATTGTTTTATTTGCATTATTGAGAAATATAATACAAATTAAATAATTATTAATTTTAAGGATACTTTCGTAACATTTAATCAATATGCTGGAGAATTATGTGCGAGAGGTATATCTCTATAACCCGTTGAAAGATCTTGGGTTGCCCAGAATCAGTAACTAAATTCATTTCATAGTTTCATAGATTCAGTTGGGTAGGGAGAGCAAA